TTCCGGAGAAAAAAAAATAGACAAATTAATAATAATTTTCAAAAACAAAAATACGCACACGAGTTTCCCGGCGCCTCCGAACTATCACGTTTTAAAAGTAACAAAAGAAATTATATTTCATATACAGCCAGCAGTTATTTTCCAAAAACAAAAACGCAACCAGACTTCTGTTTTTAATAAAAGTTACGAAAATTGAAACAGAAATAATTTTCAGAACAAAATGCGCATATTATAAGCAGCAACAACTAGAAAATTGTATACCTGCAGAAACCATACCTGATGTTGTTGATTGGAGTAAGGGTAGTGTAAATCGAAATTCTGTTCAAAGATAATAATTCGGTACCGCACGCGTACAATATGCGTGTAGTAATATTTAAATATAATTTAGTAAATAAATGTTTTATAAAGTATTTAGATATAACGTCAAAAATAAATTATTGTTTACGTTGAAACTAAAAAGACTGGGATAAAGTTTTCTTGCCGTACAATAAAGAAATCAAAAGTGCGTCGATCGTATGTGATTTAGGATAAGAAATTCAAAACTGCCACTCAAAAGTCAAAATTTTACTCATTATCTATATTCGTTTTGAAGTTGAAGTTTGGAACATGTGACTCTTAAGATACGAAACATCTGAGTTTTGATAATAGTTGAAACGGGTCAATATATGAGTTTTCATATTACGGATCGTGTAATTTTCGACACAGATTAAATAGAGTTAAGTAATCGAACTCACGCGATCCAAAAGGGCGCAGTACCAAAACTTACATGTTTTAGTTTTGACACAAACAGCTACTTCCCGGACACATTTAGACCTATTCTCGGGCGTTTTGAAACAAATCGATTACAGAATTGGACTCGCCTTAAAAAATCGTACAAAACGGTGTCGTTAACCCGTTTTTCCATTCCTAATCCCCCCCCCCGGAACATGTGAGTTTTGATTTTATATAGCCTACTCAATTGCAATACCAGCACATATTTAGGCGCCTTTACGTAGGCAATACTATGTATATAGGTACGCGGGGAAAACGACGGCCGCTGGAATTTATTAACGTGCCGCAGAGAGATTATTTTCCATCGGAGATGACGCTGGTTGCGCGTTTATATCATATGATACATATATATATGTATATTTATTTATGTATAGGATGTACACAATATAGTAAACCGTGTTGTGGAACGGGGCCCTCTATCGAGCGCCATTTGCAGTACTACGCGGATGATCCTATTGCAGCGTAAGCGGTGTTGACGGGTGGGAAGGGGTGTATATTATTATATATATATATATATACAGTGCTGCGCGTCACCGTCGCCTAGAGAATTCCCAGCGGCAGAAAAGAAGGACAATGTCATCCGACGGCGGCTGCGGCGGAGGCGGCGGCCGCGGCCGCGGGGGTCGTCGGAAAACTCGTGGGGCATACTCGACTGCGCGCGTGCGCATCCGTTTCCGACCAATCGGAACCGCCGGGCGTATCGCCGTCGGATGGTATTCCCCACCCGCCGGGTCGCCCGATCACGAGCGAGCCGGGACGCCCGTTAAATTTAATTATCGGATCATTATACTCGTACGGGCCCGTGCGTTCGTACATCATCGCCGTCGTCGTGTGCTACTCGCGAACGCCGTACACACGCCGCACGGGGAAACGTTACTATTTACGACGGACGGACCGCGGTACCGTACGCGGTTGTACGCGATAATTCTATACACCCGTTGTCTACACCGGTTGTGCGCGCGTCATCTTCGGTACCGCCCGCCAATCGGCCCGAAAAAACGTCTATTATAATAATAGTATACCGACGACAACCGAGGTTACGAGCCCGGGTGGCCGGCCACCGCGACACATACGCGCGTCCGCGGCCACGGTAAAACGTTCGGTCCGGAACCGCTCGCCGCCACCGCCATCATCGCGATTTCCGCCGGTGCATAAACGCGTGTGCAGTGGGCCGCCGTCCAGTGCAGTAAGCTCTCGCAACACGACTGCCGGAGTCTCGTTGGCCTCCGCCGCCGCCGCCGGAATCCACTTCCGAATTGTGTGTCCGGTGCTGTGAAAAACGGAACCGCCGCCGGGTCTGTACATTTTACAATAATAATACCACGTCGTGGTCGTAATAATATTTAGGCCGTTATCGTCGCCGTCATACCGAACCGTCCGCCGAAGCGGTTTTCCTATTTCCGGACGTTTTTAAAATTTTCATTTCCGTGCATAACGTGTTGTGAAGTGTGAATATTATCGTTGCTTTATCGTTGTTTTTTTTATTGACACCATATTTCGCTATTGCACGTATAGTATATGTGTTGGTATTTTTCGATTATAATATTATTATCTATACAAATACCGACGTGACTGCAGCAACTGCAACCATAACTGGCCCGAAGAATCAAAAAAAAAATAAAAAAAATACATATACATCATACAATTTTCCGGACGATATTTAACAGGTAAACATATACAACTATTATCACAGTATATCAAACGACACGTCCGCTGTCGAAAATACGTCGCGTATTTATCATATTATTATATATTTTACAGTTTTAATAATATGATATATTGTACGATAGTAATATACGGCTGCGAAAAAATACGCCGACGTTTTATAATATTTTCGCACGTAAAAAAAAACGAAACGTGTAATTTGGATACCTACAATAGACGTTTTGATCATTACTGAAGACCATTTAACCCGGTTTGATTTGAGTTAGTTGAAAATTCAGACGGTATCGGACAGCACGATAACTATAATTTGACAAACAGTCGTTATCTGTAACGCGATTTTGTTATACAAATATGCAATAATACATATATATATATGTACCTATATTATCCAAAATTAATTTTCATATAAGTACCTACTATAGATTTTTTTTTTTTTTTAATTTACCTATATAGAAAATGATTATTATAATAAACCGGAATATCGAAGTAAAAAACTCAAGTAGTACTAAAATCCTTTTTAGAAAATCTTAACTAATCGTTTAGTACGCAAACTTCAATGAAAACTTTATGAGGGATAGAACGCATACGGACAGAAGGATAAGGATAAATTCATAAAGTAGGTTATGCTACATAATATTGTACTTATTTTCTCATTTTTTCCTTGTTTTTCACAATTATTATGGAAATAGTTAGAAAAAATAAAAAATGACCTCCCTAAAGTACTAGTCAGATTTTCATTTATAAAAAGTGTTGTGATTGAAAATTGGAGTAAAATTATTGGTAGAATAGTTGTCCACAGAAGAAAAGACATAAAAAAAAAAAAAACAACACTCTCTTCGCTCAGAATCTAAAAAAGAGCTGATATTGTTGATGGGTATGCCACTAATGTAGGTGAGAAGTTGGGAAAATAGGATACATTAAGTTATTTAATTTATATTTGTAAGCAACGATAAACCATTGCAAACACAAAAAGAATCTTAGCGACATTCATTTATACATGATATGAAAAGCCCTAATACTTACGATTTTCATCAAAATTTGATTTTAAAACCGCTATAAAAAATTTAACTAAATTACTCTTTCTTAACCACTAAATACAGATTATAATAAACCTGTAGTTAAATTTTCAAACATTTCTGTTAGCTCAAACAATTATATCCACAAAGTACATACCAAATAAACACTACGTTAATAACTAGGCTAACATAAAATGCCTATAAATAGGTAGCTCAAACATCGTTAAACTATTCTAAAAAAGCCAAATATAATTTTTTGTCAAATATTCAAGTCTATGTGAATATTTATAGTTAAAATACAACAAAAAAAACCAAATTTAAAATAATGAAATTATTTCTCCTACTTTCGACGGTTTTTTCTGGTTTTGCTCAACTATTAAAAAAATTACACAGAAAATCAAAAAACAGCTCACTTACACATTAACTAAATTTAAAATTCAACAAAAAAATCTCTTGTCTCAGTAAATTTTCTGTTAGAAAATTTGTTTATAGAAATAAAAATAACACTCATCATAGTAAAACCAATAAATCCCTGGCTCCACACCGAATTTAAAACACACATTATAATAAAACCAATAAATCTCTCGCAACGCTCAGAATCTAAAAGGTTTATTTTGTAACTTATAAAAAAAAGTAGCGAAAGGAACTCCTTTTTTTTAGATGTTTAGTAATAGTGGTAGTGTACAACATTGGATTTAATGATTTCCATCCACTGCTTTTATTAAAAAATAAATACGATTAGTTTAATATATTCCATTTTAGTACACTTTAATTACCTATTTAATTGCGAAAATAACATCACTAAAAATATAGTTGCCAATAACTAAAAGAATAATTGCTATTGAGTATAGATAATACAATTAATTAAAAACGGTTTATGCAATTATATATTATTGCAGTTTTTAAAGTTTATAAATTAACTAGATAGATATACATATTATAGTATAAACTAGGAACGAACCATTTTGTTCGATAATAGAATTATTTAAAAAAAACGTAAGTAGAGAACATTTTTTTTCGATTTATAACAAGAGCAAATAAATGTAAGGTAATTTCATGTTTTTATCGTCAAAAATAAATTAATGCCGTGTCTGAAAAATCGCATAACATGTGTGAAAAGAAAGAATAGTAAAAAACTAAAATGCGAAAAAACCTATTCTATAATTTTACAGTTAAAGGTTTAAAAATATTCAATCTTGGAAGAAATTGGATACCGTTAGTCGCATAATGCCTCTAGCACAGAAAAAATAAACGCTACACCACCGCCACGAGTAAAAGCCCAATCACGAAGGGATAATTACGCTGTTTAACTAAGGAAATGGTTGACATAAAGGCGGTATTCTAATGACTTTGTGTGTCGTATCGTGTCGTGTCCACAAATACATAATACGCTGATAACACCAAAATGTCAACTGATAATATAAACATTATAACTCAAACGAGAAAAATAATAAGTTCAACCCAGCGACTCTACGAATTTCCCACGGTAGAGCTTGGTTACTTAGTGTTGCCAGCCAATCAGAATACGAAAAAAATCACACATCACATATGACACAATACATCGACGTAGCTGGAAAACCGCACCTAAAGTCGTGCAAACCGATCGGCCATCCACAGCCGACCATCAAAGTGAAAAAGATTCGGCAATTTCGATAAGGTAACCGATTGCGTTGACATTATTACAAGGCCGAGATAGCCGGACAAAGGCAGACAATACTGTGGCATAAACCATAGAACTCGATATAACCAATTACTGAAAGGTAAACAAAACGAATGGTGAACTATAGAAAATGAAACAAAATGTGGGCTGAAGCCCTGAAGATCAAATATCTATCAGGTGTAATATTTTTCAAACAATAAATAAGTCAGGTACCAGTGGAAGCATTATCTATCAAGGGAAAATCCCCCACGGTACCTGTATTTAAACCTGGAAAAATAAGAATGAAAAAGACTAAGACGGTAAGCCGAACCATATTATTAACTCCCTATGAAATACCACTGTATCCATTGTAATGTCATTATAAGGTATTCTTCCTTCTATCACCGTTACTCTTGACAAACAACTATGCTGCTTTCGTCGTAAAAGAAAATTAAAAAAAAAAAACGAACTCAAAATATCTGACATGACAAAAACCTTTTACATGATATTATAGACACACACGCGAAAATACTGCCGACCTTTTTCTGGCGTGAATACTGAAAAGACGCGTTAGTGTACATTTATTATACACGCACGGCCAACAGTTATTTTCGAGAAGGTTAGGTTTTTGAGAAGGCCCTTTGAACAAGTTTCTAATATTTTCCTACATAAATTTATGTACGTAAGCATTTTACAATACATAATACAATTATGGGACATGAACATTTTGTACGAAATCTAAATCAAGTGATCGGGTGACGATAAAACAAAAATATAATTTTTTATTATTATAACGAAAACTTGTGTCTGTTATATTATATTATATCAGTTCTAAACGATTAAAATTCAGTTATTTAATTTTATCATATTCGACCTATTATTATTATTTCGGTTGGACTAATAGGTATCTGGTTCAACAATCGAATAAAAAAATTATTGTTCTGTGGCCTTAATGGATTCCCTAAACTGTTGTGGTCGAAACCGGGTTGCACATAATATTCTGCAGTCGACAACGAAAGGTCGGAAATAGGGTTAAAAAATATTTAGCGCTACTTTAGCCGAAATCACACGTATATTATTTATATACTGTTGAAGAATATATATATAATAGATATAGGGTTATTTACCCGGCAATTTCAGAGAAACAAAAAAAAATTCAGAAAATAAATAATACAAAACACTACCTACACTAAAATACCACCGGCGCTGGAAAATAAGTTATTGCGCGGAAAGTTATTCGGAAAAACTCGAGCCAATAAATTATAGTGGCATGTAAGGACAAAACAACCCTCTAAACATATGCATGCGCTGACCCTTTTTATCATGTACAAAACGCATACGTGTTTTGATTCTTTCATCGTTATATCATATTATAAATAAAATATGCGCTACAGTAATATTAAAACAGTTGTAATTACAAATAAGGCAGTTGGTGAAGGGGCGTAAAAAACAAATGACATTATTATTTATGGGTGTATCATTAATTTGTGTGTTACAGTCATCATAAATACTTATTAAAAACTGTTTTAGATTATTTATCGATGTTTAAAAAGCTATTTATATATATTTATAATATTTTACGCATTTAATAAAAGTTCATATTTTTTCACCGTATTCGACTTTGAAACGCGTATTTATGATTGTAAACATAATATGTATTTGAACTTCGTCTTATACTTCGTTTATCTCTTTTTTTTTTTTTTTTGCTGAGTTTTTATTATTTAGCTACATCATTTCTGTTATTTTTACTCTACAACCATAAAACAATAAATAATAAATTAATGTCTAAAATATTTTTGAACATAAATAATATTTGATAGAAATATTACTATTATCTATATATAGCATGGGCGATTTTTATCAAACATTATCTCGGGAAAATTCAAAATTATGTGGGCCACACTCTTCCAATGCAATATATTACATTAATCAATGTGTCCGATTTTAAAATATCCAGCAGCTATTCATTTGTTACACGCAAAAGTGAATAATATATTCGATATTATATTACGTATTATTTATTACTGAAGATTTAAATTGGTAATAAAAATAATGTATTAGGGAACTATAATTCCCAAATAAAAACTTGATACAAACAGCGCAAACCTTTATTTTTATGAAAATAATATTTGCATACATTGACCAACTGTAATTTTTTTAAGTCCTTAACCATCTCGTCATAATTATTATATTTCAATTTACCAACTGTTTTAATTTTGTTACAGTTAAAATCAATGATGTATGAAAGTACTTGTTCATACCAAAGTGCGTTAGACCTGAAAAGGGTGGCAATGTCATCACCGCCTAATATAAAAACGGAAAATGACTGTCTTCCGACTAATACACCACAGTGGCCATCAGTAGGAGTGGCTAGTTGTGCTTATAGGTAAAAAAAATGCAATCAAGTTAAATATACGTTTCTGCCTAAGTACATGATTTGTTTACGCTAAATTATGTACATTTGTATTTGTTAGGTTTGCGTGTAATTCCACCTTTGAACAGCTAAAACAATCGGTAGAAAAAGCGAAAGCTGCACTACAAGATCGTGGTAGTTACTTGTCGTCCTGTGATCTCGGCACATCACCTTTTTGTCCGGCGACACCGTCGTCTAGAACACCCGTGACATCTCATCCAACCACTAATTCGCTCGACCTATTCCAGGATGAACAAAATAACACCGACAAACGAAACAATTGTGAGTAATAATATATACTATATAAATAAATAATAAACTATTTGCATAAAAGTCTGAAGAAAAAATATTTTATAAAAGCTGAACATACTTTATACCCATACCCTCTTTGGAGATGGAAAATCACAAAACAATTCTGTGTTTCTACATGAAAAAATTTGAGCATTTTTACTAACCAAAAAAGTATTTTCCAAGAAAAAGAAAAACACACAGAATTTATAATAAAACTATTCCTCGCTACACTCGTAATCTAATATTTAAAATAAAAAATAATAAAGACCAGTATATTTTTTATAACAACGTATTTATCTTCTTGTAACATTAATACAATAATTCAACTGTTATTATATTGTTGAGAAAATATATTTCTTTAAAAACAATAATATATTAATAATAAAATACCATTGAAAATCTCCCAACAGTATAAACATTAAAGAGTATTATAATATATGTATTGTCGGTTTTTTCGCAACCATAGAATATAAAGCGAAAAAGGAAGAAAACAGTTTCCATGGAAACAACATTCGGTCGTCATCCTTCAGTGGTTTTGTACTTTTGGCCCTTTGAGAAAAAATGGCGCGTTTTTGGAACAATCACACTGAGCGACCACACAATACAATATATATATATATATATAAATGTATGTATATAATATATAATCTAACACACCGGGCGTTCGGAAACGAATATAGGAAAGAAAGACAGCAAAGGAGTAAAAGAAAATTGAGTACATCCGTTGGAGCCTTTTAGTAAAAAAAAAAAAAAAACGAACGTAAAATACTTTTTAATGATATACCAGGGACATCGGTTTTTATTATTGTGTACTTCCGACGACCGTATCAGACCACGCACATAATCCTTTTATGATTATCATTTCCTTCCTTGAAAAATATTTTGTAAGGTTTTTACTACAGATATACTTAATAATTTATTTATGTTAATAATTTCAAACAAATCTTGAATACTAAAACTTGGAAGATAATGTTATATAATATATACCTACCTATACGTTTTTTTTTTTTTTTGATAATTAAGTTTCATTGAATATTATTTTTTTCTTTTTCAAGTTACTTTAGTTTCTTTATATTAATTGTTTGACATTTAACAATATTTATAATTACAATAATAACAATAGTAACAATAGTAACAAATATTGAAGAAATACAATAGAAATTAAAGTTATGAATTGTACTTTTGATTAGAAAAGTATATTATCAATAATAAAAAAAAGAACATACTTCGCACATGGGTGCAGCCACTGATATAGGTGAGAAGTTGGGAAGATAGTAGAAGGGAAATTTAATGTATATCTATAAGTAACAATAAACCATTGCTAACGAAAAAACGATTCTGAACGGAGTTCAGTTGATAGTATTGCATTGTCAATAATATTACGCCATGTTATGGTAAAATAATTACATAAGTATTATATATTTTCTTTGATGATATTTGATTAATATTGTACCTATTTTCCCGTTTTTACTGAGGTTTTCTTGGTTTTCCCAGTCAGATATTATTTTAGAAAATGTAAAATCATGTAAAATCGGAACGAAATTACTGGTAGAAAAGTTGTCTACAGAAAAAAAAGACCGTAATATTTTACTAATACATTTCGTAAATTTTCCCGTTTTCCTCAGTTTTTTTCTAATTTGTTGGGAAAACTGTTGAGAAAATCTTAAAAAGACCTCCCCAGTCAAATTTTCTTATCTAATCTAACCCAATTTATTTTGCCTTCATCGCATTGGTATATTTATAACCATATTGGAAGGTAATTTCTCTAAAAATAGAAACCAAACATTTATAATAGCGATTTAGATAGCAAGAAGAAAAAAACACGACTAAATACTATTCCATTCAGAATCATTTTTCATTAACAATAATCTACAAATCTTTTACAGATTATAAGAACTTAGTTTTTAAAAAATAAACAAAAGCATCACACAAACTAACATTAAAAAAATCATGAGGACAATAAAATAATATTATACACATTATAAATTCATTCCGAAACAATTCTGAATAAAGCTTAAAATCAAAATGTTTTAAATATAATAAATTACTGTTACTATACATTTTTTCTTGATTATTTCCACATTTCAGAACATCAAAATATAAGCGATTAAAAAGTTACATCTTGAAAATACCTACTATATAATATTTTTTATATTTATTATACTGAATTTATCACCAATAAAGTTGCCTCAAAGAGAAACCATTGTACAACTTTTAGTTACTTTTTCTGCTCGAATACAAAATAAAATCAGTTATTTCTAATTCATATGATATGTGTTATCATTTTATATATAAATTATAAATAATAAAATGATAAAGTAAAAACAAAATTATTAAAATGGTTAATACTCATAAATAAATGTATAAATAAAAAATAATAAATAAAAGAATGAATGCGGAGACGAGTATTATGATAAATGTATTATACGACCGGTTTTGAATTAAAAATTCATCATCAGGTATATCACAGTCAAAATGTAAAATGCGACTGAAAATAAAAATTAAATGAAGGAATGCATAGAAAAAAAAAAATTATACAAGCTGGTCGTTTTTAAACAACCTCTCCTATTAAAATAAATTATTTCTATATTCTATGTAAAACGACCAACTTGTGTAATTTTTTTTTTTTCTATGCACTCCTTCATTTAATTTTTATATTCAGTCGCATTTTACATTTTAACTGTGATAAACCTGATGATGAATTTCTAATTCGAAACCGGTCATATAATACACTTATTACAATAATCCAGGCGAAACATTCATTCCTTTATTTAATATTTTTTATTTATTTATTTATTTACTATATAAATTTTAAAATGAACATTAGACAATATTTAAACTTGAAGTAAGTCAAATAAATTCAGATAATGTCTTACAAAGCAAATAATGTTTTATGATAAATGCAAAAAACAGAGAGAATAAATCCCTCTTATTTCAAACTTTTTTCTTTTATTTTTATTTTTTAAACGCTTTTGTTATTCTTTTTCCAACACCTTTTTATAGATAATTATTTTTCCAACGTGAACTAAAAATAATGGATTTCATACATAAAAAGAGGGTAAATTATCATTATAAAAAATATAAAAAAATAACAGCCATGATAAAAAGAAGACCTCCGGAACATTTATACCGATTCCAGGCGACGAGCCGCAACGATAGTATCCTTTTCCGGTTTTCCGGTTAGTTTTCCTGGTGCATTTTATTTGTCACAAAAGAAAAATCATTTAACTAAATAAAATTAAAATATCTATTTAAAAACATTTTACAGAGGCTTGTGTTTAACTACGCAATTTTAAACTTTTAAATACCCAATTCATGAAAAAATATGTTTACCCTCTAAAATCAATAATTAATAATATATTGATAAACAATATTATGCAATATAAGTACTATTTCGTTCCAATAAACTAATATTTGATTTATTAGTTAATATTATATAATATAACCTCTATGTAGTTTTTCAATTTTTTTATGACCATTATAAAAAGATATCAAAGTAAAAAATTTAAAAAATCATTTTCCAAACATTATATTTTGTAAATTTGTTTGTCCCTAGATATTGATTCGTCTAATAGCAGATACGATAAAGGCTCTGGATTGATGCATCTATCATCTTCTACTTCAAATGGTAAGATTTAATTTTTTTCCGAAAAGTAATTTGTATAATGTTAAAGAGTTAGAATGAAACGGTTTCCCTCATATTTTAAAAAGTTAATAAAAAGGTACTAGAAAAAAATATACTTATATATACAAACACGAAATTGCTCTTTAAACGAATCGACGTTCATAGTTTTTCAATTCATAAAAAGAAAAACGTATAGATGGTTTAAAAATGTCTTAAGAATTTCATTTATAAAAGAAAAATCAATCAATTTAGTGTGATACGCCAATAATTTATATAGCAGTATGATATTACAGAGCGTATAGTTATTTCCATCTCTTGCAGCATATTCTGAATCATAAACTATAATATAATTATCAAAATCGTATAATATTTTACAGCACAAATGCTTATCACATATATAGACCAAAATATATTATAAAATCTTATATTATTATGTACATAATATCACCTAAAAATCACGCTTTACTGTTTTGCATTTCATGTATTACTGCATTGTTGATTGTGATTGTGATTTTGTTGTTACTTATAATAGTTGAACCTAAATCAGTTGATCAGGTTATTGTATTGTATCTAATAAACCATTTTTTTTTTTTTTTTTTGAGTCACAGAATAGTTTTTTAAACTTTAAATTAAAAACAATTCTATAATAGTATGATAGCATTATATTTTAAAATATTACAGCTTTGTGTAATTTTAATTTATTTTCATTTGAGTGTCCCGAACTATTTTCAAATACTATTTTCATATTATATTATTATTTATTATATATGTAACATATAATTAAATAACGAATATAAATTCCAGTTATAATTCAATTAACTGTAGCTAAACTGACCAAATATAATATAATTTGATATATAGTATACGTCTTTTATACTAGAATACTATAATATTAATACAATAAAATCGCGTTACTTTTTTTTGTATACGTTAACTTGTTTACGCTACGTCACAAAAATTTTACTTAGAAAATGTTTCGAAAATAATAATCCGTATAAATCCGTGGGCGGAGACGAAGAAAACAACCCCCCCCCCTTATAATATTATATATATAATATATTGAACGATATTGAATTAGTGTATGTGTTGGATGAAAAGGCGAGCACGTTTTCCCCCCATTGACGATAGTGTGTTTATCTCCGACGGAGGTTCGGTTTTACGGGTAGGGGAAAACTGTCAACCCATCGGCATGAGGGTCACATGCCGTTGCCATGGATACTGTCGTCAGTCAAATGGCGGCCAGCCACTCCGCCTCTATCATCATTCCTGCAGCAGTTCGGGAAATTTTACTTTCTTACATGTAATAGATTTCTTTTTTCTGTTTGGCATTGAATTATATAAGATACAAAGTTGAGAACTATTACAAGTTAAGTTCTTGATTTTATTCAGTTAAATACGATTTCTTGATTGTCTTTGTTTATATATTATACGTATATAATATTATATATCAGGGTCCTGCAGTGACGTTACAGTGATACGCGGTTATAAATTATAATACTCTTCCAATGGTAACTCACTGTTATTATAATAATTGCCTAGTTTCATTATACATACTCGATAGTATTCAATTTTGAAAACAAAATTAATAATAATGTTCATCCTAAATTAACCTAACTCAAACTAACTTGAACAACGTTGGAGTGATAAATATCATATACTGCTAATTTTGCGTGTACTATTTAGATTTAATAACTGACAAACACAACAAAGTATAATAAAGAAATTCAAAAAAAATAACCAAAATAAAGAGCACATAGAAAGAAGGATAGAAATCCATTTTTTCAAATTTCAGACAATTTGAGATCATTTAGAGATCAAACCACTATCGCATGTTGCATTTCATTCAGTGAAAAAAAGGTTCAGTTTTATAATATTAAAAATAAAGTTAGATGCACAACTCAAAATATGTACAATAATAATTATATAGTATATAGTTAAAAAAAATACATAACCATATAATTGTAGAAAAGTTTTATTCATCTGAACAATTTTCAAAAATGGACTACTACCTTACTTCCCGTGTCCCCTTTATGCATCACACAAATTTTTATTGGTGCAATTATAAAGCAAACTCATTTATTTTAAGGTCTTATCATACGATCACTTAAGAAATATATAATTTTGAGCAACATAGATCATTGTTAACAATAATATCATCCCAACCGAAAAACCAAAATTAATAATATATTATGCATTATGAAGAGTAGCGTAACTAAAACTATTTGCTTGATACCTAGGTGAAGATAGAAAGATTAGACACCCCATAACATATGATTTCATCAATAAAACAATTCAACCCAAATTTTATCACTTCAATCCATTTATAAAACTATAATATTCCTGAGATCATTTAATCTAAAAGGAACATCGAGACAAAATATAAACGAGTATATGGATATAACTATAATGGGCATGTAGGGTATAATAATCTTTATTTTCTAAAAAAATTGTATTAAAAATTACATTTCGCATCATTATTATTACATAATAAACCATGCAAATATTTATTTTATTTTATTTTATACGGTTTAACATATTGATTAATACTTATCCTTTGGTTTTTAACTAATTTCATAAATAAATATTACCAAAATACCAAAAATCAATCCTACATCCAACACATATAATGAAAAAAAATAGTTCACCATTTTTTTTTTCAATATTTTATACAGGTTTATCATCCGTAGGAAAATCATCGTCGTATTTGCCATCATCCATATCAGAATCATTTAGATCATCATCTAAGTCAGGTAATAATTTTTTTTACTATAGAATTTAATTAAATATTATTTTAGATACTTAGATAAATGTTAAGTAATAAATCAATTTGGTAGATTTTAAATTGAAAATTAAATAAATGTACATACTAAATTAAGCAAAACAAACAATTAATACACTGGATTTGTATATACTACTTGAAAGAATTACTTTATGAAATAAAAATAACTAAAATTGTGTGCTAAACTAAATAATTTTCGAATTTAAAATAATAATATTATGTTTGTTCTGAGCACCCAATAATACCTAAAATACCCACTAAAATACTAGATTTTTTCGTTCCAAATACTGAGGCTCCACTGCTCCAGACAATGTTATCAGTCCTCTTACAAATTTAAAATAATTATTGTATATAGCTTATATAATACTAATTATCCTGCCAACATTGCTTTTACCAAAATAGAAAACAGAAAAATTATCATCCTTATCATCAAGGAAACATAAATAGTAAATACCAATAAAAACAATATGTATTTATTTGTTTTAGTTTTATTTTATTTCAACCATATTACCAAGATCAACAAAAAAATTAAATGTTCGTACTAAAAATACCAATAACCCTTTATCGACCCTCTCCCCTTTAGATTTTGAGTACGATGGGTTAAAGTAGCCTATACGTTATTCCTGGTAAGGAACTATTACCATGCCAATTTTCAACTCAATTCGTTCAGTAGTTTGGACGAGAAGTTGTTACAAACATGTATTCAATCAATAAAATTTTCACGTTCATAATATTAAGTAGGATTTTATTACTTATACGCAGTAGCGGCGAGAATGAAATATAATTGAATCACGTGATTCATAAATAAACTTGTAGGTGGGTCATGGATACCTGGGTGTTCAGAATATAACAAAAATGATAATGTTTTTACAATACAAAATTTATTAAAATAATTTTAAACTGCGGAAATTTGATCAATATGTAGTAGGGTGGGAATATTATTGGGGATGGGTGGGTGGAAAATTAAATCGGCGATTCAAGGTAAAAATACTTCTCACTATCACTGCCTATACGTTGAATATTTTATTCTGAAGTTGTAGAGTTATTTTAAAAATACTCAAGTCCTATAGGTATATAGAAACTTCTAATTTAAATAAGAAAGAAAACTAAATGTACGAAACATACGTATATAAAAAATAAAATTCCATAAACATTTTAATAATCAATTATACCTATTATATAATAAATACAGTAATACGTATTTATGTCGAAATGAATAAGGTACTAGAAGTTACTAGAAAATAAAGTTTCATCTATCTATGAATGTTTGTTTATAAGATGGTACAAATAAATTTGTTCTTTGTAAATTATTGTGTATACTTAATTAATAGGTATAGGTTATATATAAACTGTATAGTACCTTACTAGTGATACAACTATACTCATATAATTATACTTAACAGTACATGGGTTAATTCACATTGCACTTAGTTAAGACGAGTTGCTCTTGGGTTAAAAAGAAAATAATAGTCAAACTACACTAAAGTCAAAAAAAATGTTAGAGAAAACAAATTAATTTAAAGTAGCACTAATTTCCCTTCACTCTTATAATTTAATTTTTGGGATTGTTAAAAATGTGTTTTTTAATATAATATATACTGTATTATATTATATTATATTTATTAGGAATTGTTTTGAAATATTATAAATGTGAAAGTTTTTTTAGAAGGATGGATGTTGGTTACACCTTCAAGTAAAAACTATTGAACAGATTAATCTAAAACATAAATGTAGTTCTAGATCACGAATAACATAAATATCTAACATTAACAATGTTTGATCCAAGTGCAGTTTAAACATTTTAATTTGAGTTAAACTGGCAATTTGACTATCGCCTATCAGATATATTTCTGTTTTGTAATTTTAGATTCGTAGTGTAGCGAGGAATGCATTGATTTTACAGTTATTTATTATTTGTGAACAACTTTTTTTTCCAGAAATATTGTTCCATTTTTCAAATGTAGTTCTTTTTCTGAAAAATAAATGTGTCTGGGTGGTACTTTAAGAAGGTCATTTTTTGATTTTCCAAGAGATTTTTATAATAATTAGGAAAAGACAAGGGAAATTGTAAGTACATGTATAAAAGAATTTCGCTCCGAAGATTTCCGTTAGCAATTGTTTATTGTTGCGTTCAAATATAAATTAAATTCCCCTCTATATCCTACCTTTCCACTTTTTACATAAAACTGCTTAATCTGTGAATATTATGATATTTCAGTGTACTATCAGATCTATTTCTATATTATTTAATTTTAGATTCTCAGAGGAGCGACGAATGTATTCGTTTTACAGTGTTTATTATTATTTTTTTTTTATCTGTGAACAACTTTTCTACCAGCAAACTTGCTCCAATTTACAATGTTAGCACTTTTCTGAAAGGAAATTTGATTGAGGTGGTACTTTAGGGAATTCTTTTTTTGATTTTTCCAGGAGTTTTCCAATAAATAGGGAAAAAATATAGGAAAACGGGAAAATAGGTACAATATTAAACAAATATTGCTAGAGAAAATATAATATAATGCATACGTAATTATTTTACCATAATATGACATTATGACACATATATTGTTGATAAGCACCACTATTAGCCGAACTCAGCTAAGAATCGTATTTTCGTTAGCATTGTTTAATTGTTGCGTACAGACATACATTAAATTCCCGTCTATATGCTACCTTCGCAATTTCCCACCTGGCTGTACCTATCCCCATTATCCTAAGACAGCTTTTTTAATATTTAACACAAAACAATAAAATCTTCCCATAAGTATGGTTTGTCAATTATATAAATGTTTTATTATTATATAGAAATGCAAGGAAATTTGAAACAGTTTAGGTTAGCGGTCAGGGTTGTTTATAAATTAATACACATACCTACGTTTGCAGTGCAATATATGATATTATTATATGTCAAAACACACAACAGAAAATGCGACCGATTTTGCTATCACGGGCACAACGAAATAGTGAATACAAAAATACAAAAATCAACATTGATTATCGTGTTTATTTCTGCCGCTAATTTACTCTCACGGGGTGTTGGCGCGGGCGGCTTTGTTGGGCTGTATAGGTATACTATTCATAATATATATAATAATAGCGTGACTGGCAATCGCTTTTTTTTTTCTGGCAATAAACTGTATAAAAGCCGCCGAGGTGTCTCTTCGTGACAGTCATCGAGTCGAACAATGCAATATAAAATTTCACATAGGCGAGTTCGTGGAGGTTGTGGGGAAGGGGAGGCAAAAGTTAACTCGGTTATGATTAATGGTCTCGGCCCCCTCGCCAAACAACGCTACAGTCCATCCCTATTAGCAATAAATAAAAATATATACATTTCGGTTTTTTTTTTTTTTTTTTTTTTGTTTACCCAGTATGCTTTGTCTCGAGGCTTTCATTCGTATCCACCCTTCACCCTACACACACACGCACATCCACACAAATTTAAACACATATTAACCTCGGCATCATAAAACATTTGACTCAAGATGTAATCAAAACCGAGAAAAACCCACCAACCCGTAAAAAAATGATAGGATTTTTATTTTATTTATATCGATACCGGGGACATATTAATATTATAACATTAAAGTAACAATAGATGTACTCTCTAGTTATCTCTGGAAAACTAGGTTTTGTACGCAGGTTTTTAAGTTCAACAAACAAATTAAGAGAAAATTCATTAAATTTGGAAACCCAACCAAAAATCTTTTATTCCTATGAATATAGGTATATATTCGAACTTTCAGTAAATTATAAGAAAAGTCCAATACTACTGATAGGTGTACCACTGATTTTAGTGAGAAGTTGGAAGGGAAGACATCAAATCTATATACATTACAGTGTAGGTAGGTAATTTAATTTATATCTATACGCAATGGTAAACCATTTTTAACGAAAAACGATTCTGAGCAAAAGTATTAATTATCTATTTTACCCCTTAATACCAATAGATAACCCCAAAATCAACAAAAATTTCCAGTTTTTCCAATTTATTGAAAAAACTACACTAAAAATCAAAAAATTATCCGATTGTTATACCAACTAGATCAAAATATATACAAGAAAACTCCAATAATGTTTTAGATTGAAGCAAGATTTCTAGTAGAAAAGTTGTTAACAAACACAACAAAAAAAATTTTCGAACCTCAGGGCTAAATAGAGTGTCCGAGTGTGCGCTGGTGTCCCTTGCCACTTTTGACCCTAACGTAGTTAAGTTACGTATAAGAATTGGAAATTATCTTAGACTAATTATTTTTAATGACCAAGACCCGAACTTCCGAGCTCGAAATGTATTCACTTAAATAATTTATATAATACGTAGTGATATAAGTGCGCGCATTGTCACAGAGAACCCCTCTCTACATGAACCAACAGTCACCCACTATTATTTTACATAATAAAGAGAAAATATATTATAACGATAGTAACAATAATAATAATTATTATTGTGTTACCAGTGAATTAAATCAAAGTGCGCACGTCGCCGTCGGTTACTTTTGTCTGCCATCATCGATACGACATCATGTGATATATATTATATCGCGTGCAGTATCATATACGCCAAAAAAGTCTTTCGATACGGGGACGCTCTTGCCCACCACCAGTGCAACGTCCACCCCACCCCCGAGCGACCACCACACCAAGTTTCGAACATGACTAATCTCTATGGGTTTCCGTTTCGGAATGAAAAGTCGGCGGTGGCGGCGTACGGTTTCCTGCCGTGCGCACGGCCCGAAATAATAGCCGGCAGTCCACACGCGTCGTGAGCCTTTGTGTCAATTAAAGGTCCTTTCGGTCCATTTCACCAACGGACGACCGCCTTTAACGAGCGACCCTTTCGCTCCGTCCCGCAACAACACAACCATTGTTTGTTTATGATTAAAACCAAACGGGCCAAAAAAAAAACAGGCATAAAGTAAAAAAATAAAATAATACCAATGTGTGTACACAATAGCGTTTTTATACGGAACATCTTACATGACGTTGCAATAATTTTTTGTTTCTATAAAGACCTGCAACGATTTCGTATATACTCATTATACATTTGACATAGGTACCAACCATCCATTACATAATATAACTAGGTAGATCGAATAAGCGTATCAACGTTAAGAAAATTGAACTCTTTAGTTCAATTTTGAAAATTTAAAAATTTTCCACTTTAATAGAAACATAATTCACCGTTTTAGTTTAAAATATATTTTTGAAAAAATCGAACTCATGCTGACTTTTTAAGCGTTATAAATAATTTCAAAGAATTTATTGTAATTTAAACTATTGTATTAACTGATGTATCATAACTGATTTTCGAGTTTTTTCGTAAGGCTAAAACAATTTTATTCAAATAATATACATAATAAAATGAAACAAAATTTCAAATAACTCTAAATAGCTCAAAAATCGGCAGAATTTTTAAAACATTTAGACATCTATAAAAAGCAATCATAAGTATATTCAATACAAAAAATAGCTGAAATTGCTTATGGGTGTGCCACTGTTGTAGGTGGAATGTTTGGAAGGTAGAACATATAAAGTCATTCAATTTATATCTATAAGCAACGACAAACTATGACTAAAGAAATACGACTTTGAGGGAATTTGAGTTTCAAATGTTTTAAAAAGCCTTAATTTTTACGATTTTCGTCGAAATTTGAACTCAAAACTCTTAAACAAAAAAAAAAACGAATACATTAAATTCAGCTTTTTTTTAACCACTAAGTACAACTTATAATGGTTCTCCTGTTAAATTTTCAAGCAGTTCTTTTTTATCAAACAATTGTATTTACATTATATCTACTAAATAAAAACTACTTAAAATTATCGTAAATATAAAATGCCTGTAAATAGCTATAATAACAAAAAAAATATCTTTTGGTTTTTTGATTAATGCAAAATGTCTCTTAGATAACATAAAGCATAGAAATTTAAAGTATTGAAATCGGTAACTCTACACAGTGCCGTTAATATTTGTACGGTTTTTCTATACCTACATTTTTCCCAATTATTATCTAAATTACTTGAAAAATCAATAAATGAACTCACTAACTAGATTCATAATGCAACAAAAAAGATTTATTATTATTTTTTTATTAAAGCAAGATTTCCGGTAAAAAAGTTGCTCAAAAACAAAAAAATATATAAATAAAAAAAAAATACACATCTTAATAAACCCATTTCTCACTCCACTTAGAATCTAAGGAAAATAACCAGAAACCATTTATTCCTTTTTTTCCGAACATTAAAATTCTACAAGGAAAATCATAAAATAACTTCTTTAATGCACCAATTCGATGAATTTTTAACCAGAAAAGTACCTTTTATCAACTGGTAATCGAAACTCTGATATAAAAGTTGGTCACAAAAAAATAATATTTTTGAAAAAAGGAAATAGCACACATCATAGTAAAACTAAAACGATAAAAATAAAATATAATTACATAAATTATATACCATTTAAAATCTATAAAACAAAAATACATTAACCATATTGGTGACGCATAAACGATTATCAAACTTATTATATAATAAATAAATAAGAATATTCGCTGCAAATAAGAATACAGGAAGTTCTATTACAGTGAGTACATTTTCTCATTTTCTCGGAAAGTATTAACTTTTTTCGAAATTTGTTTTATAAAAGATTTAAAAAACAAGCAGCTTTACAATTTTGCATGTAATTGTTTTTTTTCGTACTAATTATTGGGAGTGAAACCACTACCTACTTTTGATTTTCAAATGGCAACCTATATTAAAAAAGCCATAAATAGATGGAGTATTAGTTAAAATAAATATTTGATTTCAATCAATCCATTCACGAGATATTCCACTTTTCCCCCGACCCAAATTTAAAAGTAGACGTAAATGTAATCCGTTGAATTATCAAAATTTTTAGTGCCTAAATTTATTTTTACTAACACTCCATCTATCTATAGCATTTTTAATATAGGTTGCCATTTAATAATCAAAAGTGGTTTTACTTCCAAAAATAAAAACAAACGAAAAATAATATAAATGTAAAATTGTAGAACGATTTGTTCTATAAAACAAGTTACAAAAAAACTTAATACTTTCCGAAATAATAAGTGTACTAATTTAAATGGAATATTCTTTAAATATACGACCACGTGAGAACTGATAAAAAAAACCATTTGAACCCAAACATGTGTTTATGTTTTGAAATATTATTAGCACCTGGTATTTGAAAAACCATTCTGTATATTATTATTATATATTAAAAAAAAAATAACGTTTTAACTTAATCACACCGTACGACCGCATCTAAGTAATATCATATAGGCGAATTTAATACAATAAACCAAAGTGTTCGTTGCAGCGTTATTGGTATGTACCATATACCTACTGACTAATCACCCCTAACATCAATTCATTATTATCGTGTACACTGCTGGGCAGCCATCACCTGTCTATGTATACATATATTATAATCTACCAGACCGATAAGTCTAATTTCAATTTGCATTGTGTTCGTATATTATTATTGTTCAACCCCACGTTATTGCGCGTCCTACGCATGTATAACTAATTTATAGGACCATCACTCTAATATAAGATAAGTGAATTAATGAACGTTTATGATGATTAATACTTAATAACAATATCAATTATATAAATTATAATATAATGTATTAAAAATAGATTAAAAAGATAAGTAAAAATAGAACACTGCAGTATAATGTATAGGTGACAGTGAAGTAGTCATATATTTAGGGGAAGGTTGATGATGATCACTTTGAAAATTTCCGAAATAACACTATTTTCATTTTTTTTTTTTTTTCATTTACTATATGTGGCATTTAAATCGAAAGTTCGTGATTTACCAAATCATAAAAATGTATAAATGTAGTTATGCACAGAATAAAACACACTTAATTTTTATCAAACGTTTTTACATGTTATGATAAAAATTATGTAATGTATATGTACATCTTATCGTTCACAATATTTAATTTTTTTTATAATCTAATGACGTGGAAAAATTACGTACCAATGTGTCATTAAGCTATAAGACAATATAATACTTTTCATCGTATCAGTAAAATATTTAAATCGTAGGTATTATAATAAAAAAAAAAAGCTAATGCTGTTGATGGGTGTGCCACTGTTTTTTATTGAGCGATGATAACCTATTACTAACGAAATATGAATCAGAACAAATTATTATTGGCCATTCAGCCCCTCCCCTTTTTTTCCAAGGTAACTCAAAAATCAACCAAAAGTTATTATTTGTTTCTAATCATTGAGAAAACTATAAGGAAAACAGTAATCGAAAAGTAATAATCTGACCTATAGATCCAATACAAATTTTTGATTTGTTGTTATCGTTCCAAGCCGTTAAATATTAAATCACTATCAATACGTGTTTTTATTATTGAGGAATATGATATTGATACCAAGATAATCGATATTATCATAAATCGTGATGACAACATTAAAAAAGCTGTAAAAACAGATTACTAAAAGCCCTAGTAGTAAATTGAAACAGCTGATTCCTGGATTAAATTCTATGATCACAAAATGAATACATTATAACTCATGGATATGGGCAGCCGTATTATCTTAAACCATGAAGGAAAATCAAATTATTACTTCCAAATAGATCAAAAATGCTACAAGACAATTCCAATATACAATTTTTTATCAGATAACAAATTTAAAAAAAGTCATCATTATAGTAAAACAAATTCAATTCTCGCTTTGCTAAAAAATAGTATGTCAAATATGACATTCTATTGTTCATACTTATTATATTTTTTAGTGTTAATTTACTCTCATTTTACTCTTGTTTCAATAATACGAGAGTTTCAAAAAATTGAATAACAGATGGCGCTAGAGTATTGTGTTTCAAGCCGATCGATATAATATTATTACGATCTTGTAAGGGATGCAGAGGGTGTCAAAAACGGACAAAGAAAATTAATCACATATAGCGAACTACTCGGTCTAAAATCAATTATCCTGTTAAAATAATGTTTATAATAAATTATATATTATTGATCACTTAAACCATAAAATATCGTACCTTGTCAGATATCATTAATATAAACAGTGAAAATTTCGTCTTTACTGCGGGTTTGAGATTTGTTTTTCATTAAACATTAGTATTAGTTATGCGTTGTGTAGAATACAGATTACTTAAGTTATTAGCCTTGTTTGGTTGTTAAATAAAAAAATTAATTGTGTACGGACGATTTGTTGGTTTCGTTTATTTTTGTAAAAGTTGCATCGAATTTTGTAGTAAGTAGGTAATAGGTATTTTTAGAAAATAATTTGATAGACAAAAAAAATTGAAAAAAAAATTTAATTATATTGGGTTATTTTTCAAATACTTTTATATTTTTTTTTTTTATATTTAATTTTTATTAGTCTATTTTAATTTCAACGAAAATTATACCGGTACCTACCTATTATATTTTCGAATTATTATGAAAATTAAAAAATGTATGCGTAAAGTGTACGAGTATAATAATTTAAATTTATTGAGCGGTTTATATTTTAACATTATATGCATGTATACGGTATAAGTATACATGTACCCAGTGAAAATTCGATGATCCCGAAAACCACATACTTGTGATAAGATACAGGACAAAACCGCAAATTTTTTTAAACTTTTATATCCAATAATCGTACATTTTATAATAATGTATAATCTATTATTATTATTAATATAAAAACCAAAAAATAAATAAAATAAAATATCAAACATTATAATTGTATCTTAATTAGTGTTGTTCAATATAAAATCAAATAAAAAAATGATCAAAATTTTAAACAAAAAGCCAATATTTTTTAAAGAATTAAACATATTTAAAAAAAAAAAAAATGCTTTTATAATTGTTAGTAGGAATCGATGTTTTTTAGAAATTTTTAACGATCTCCGTCCTTCAAAAATTCTTACCGACATTTAAACAAGTATTCCTAAAATTAAACACAATATAATAAAAAAAATGATGTATTACTAATAATAAAATATGCCCATCAACTTGTTTTTGTTTTTCAATTGGACGGATAATATGTTCATATAACATTATATTATATAATATTATATTTTATAATTAGCGTACAGTTTTACCCTACTATAAGTGTGCAGTGTTTGTCTACTGACCATTTTGGGATAGAAACCACATATGTGTGGCGGTTTTCGGATTCAACCTAAAAATTACCAGACAATTATATACCAATACGCACCTGATATTTTTTAATAATATAATATTGTTAGTTATCAGTGTTCTCACAGTATCAATATTAAAAATTAAAAAAAACTTGATATGCAAAGGCTATAAATAAAACTGTAATATACCTTTATACTGTGAATTCATGACGTCATATTAAATTAAATACCGAATTCGCTGTGTGAATAACTGATCGAGTAAATTAATATTATACGGTTTTTCTGAAGCGTTTCATAAAACAATGGTTTTCATTTGCATACGAAAATAATGATTTTATAAAATATTAACACTTTAAATGATATCGCTGAAAACCAAACTGATTTTATCGAAAAACCGTGCGTTTTTTAAATTTATTATTTTCAAAACATATTATATTATTTTCGACCATTTTCCAGTCGTTTTCAATATATAATATACAAATCGCGTTACAAAAACTTATTAACAAGATTTAACTCACCTAATATATGGGGTGAGGGGAAAAAAATACTGTCCATTATTACTATTTCTTTACAGATGTTATTACACGAGTCGACCCTTTAAACAAAATTAATAATGCTTCTCTGAGTGGCATGTTGAACGTTACAAAATCAGATAAAAAGTGTGTGTGTGGTTACAAGCGTGTCGCCTGGGTCGGCCGCGATATTCATTCTCTGCTACGTTATACCTTATCGTTTCCTGTCCTCGACACAGCACGTGGACGACGACCGTATCGAAATATGATTTTTTTTTTTTCACGAACCCCAGTTAAGAGCTAACCATATCTTTGCAGGCAATAATAATTGAGACATGACTCACATTCACATCGTAGATACCTTATAACACCTAATCCAAATATACAATAAAATGTATAATATATACATCTAATAAATATAATGGATGGTTATCCTGTAATATTTGCATAAATACTTAGTACTTACATTGTCTGTTTAAAACAAATTAAGAAAAATAACAGTTTAACAGAATAAATTCAATCTAGAAAAAACATTTATTTACATGTTTTTTTTTTTCTTTTCATAGACAATTCTGAATACGTAACGAAGAAACTATGTATGATATTTACTAAAATCCTCTGTAGTAAAGGAAGGCTATAGAGGGAAATTTAATGTATACTTATTTGTACGCAATAATTAATCATTCCTAACGAAAAACGATTCTGGGCGGAGTTCGATCCTCGTTTTCACTTTAAAACCTGAACTATACTGTATATTGAATTATAAATAGTAATAATATGGTTTCTAGTCATAGGCCAAACGAAAAAAATAGTGTGCGACTGGCGACAAAAGGGTTGATACAATAGTGTGAAGTATTTTATTGTTCGAATGGTTTATAATAATACGCGCCAAGTACTACACAGTGAAAAACAATAGACCGGCTTGTATACACGGGGTTTTTCCATTATATAATATACGATAATCGCATACTGTACATTATTTCTGACCATTTTTATAGCTAGGTACTCTAACCGTGTATTTCGAAAGTAATTATACACTTAATTACAGAACTGCTAGCAGGCCACTTTTAAAGGTTCTTTTGTGATCCGCATCACAATTGCGCGCTATTTCCTATATATATACGCCGTATAAGTACGTACACGTCATTATCCACGTCCCAAATTTTCACATAAGGAAATGTATAGGTACCCCCCATGCAGCACTTGTTGTACGCCCTATCGGTTTTTACACATTTATTAACATCGGACACGCGAATCTATCAAAGATTTTCGTCTTGGCGCATTTTCGTTTTTCATTATCTATAATATAAGTAAAATTATACAAGACCGCTAAAATAATAATATTATTTTATGCGTAGGTACCTACGCATAAAGAGAGAAACGGTCGATTTTAGTGACTCCCTCGGCTACCCTCGATCGTCATGGCAACGCATCGATTGTGCCCGGGCGTTGGAACTATTCCAAATTACCTGCGGGGATCTGAAATAATAATTATTTATTTTACTATCGTTTCTTATTCTTACTATGTACTACTTGACTTTTGTTCATGAAACAAATATTTTAAAACTCGTAATATATTTTTACACGTCGATAAAATTGTCGGTTCTGCCACATGTAGGTACGTTTAAACACAATACATCTTTGATCCCCAAAAAAAAGGGCTAAAATCAATTTTTGGTATTTTGTTTGTAATTTTTTGCTACTTATTCCCTGGTACTGAAGATACAGAGTGATTTACTTATCGTAACACAGTGCTTTTCTAGGAGGAATTTAAGTGAATTTGACTTCTGTTTTTATCTTTTTAATTATGGAATGTTGAATGAATAACACTTCAAAAAGCACCTCACCCCTTTTAAACACAGATTCAAATAGAGAATATTTTTCTAAAAATATTGATATACTTAATACTTATTATACATTTTTTTTTATTGGATATTATTTTATAGAAATATATTTTATCGGAAACCTTTGCAATAAAAAAATTCTATTCAGAATCCTATATTTTGCTGGGTAGAACATTGATTTTATTCCACAAAAATTTAACGTCAGATTTAATTATTTCTGGTGTGCCGGTGATTATTGACCATTAAAGTGATCCCGTAATATTTGACCGGTGGAGAAAGTAATAAAATTTCACTACCTAGAGAATCCTTTCTCCCAGTCAAATATCTCTAATGAAATTCTATTATTTATTATTTTATTATGTTTTTGTTAACCGTAAACAGATTACAGATTTTAGATTCCCCAAAGTAAACTAAAAAATTCTATAGTTTACTTATCGTGCAAGTTTAACAGATCGCACTATGCATAATATTATAATATAACAATCTAACACCTATATATACCTGCAGTGTACCCTTCCGTAACCCGGCCACACCGAAATATTCAGACGGCCACGGCCTCTCGAAAGCCCTTCCCATCACGCTACTGAACATATTGTCCACTCCGGCAGATAGTGCGGGATTTCCCCAAACGTACCGTGATTTCCCGACAAATTATCACATTTATATTAATCACGCGTCTGGTCCCGCCGAAAGACGCCCCGGCGGACGACAATATGCTCGGTGTCGGCGCGACGGACCGACGCGGTTTAATAGGCAGACGCGCGCGACCACCCGCGTCCCGTCGTGCGACAATCGGTTTTTACGAGACGCACGCGTCGACACAACGGTCGACGTTGCAGCAGTCGCGCGGGCGGGCGGGCGGGCCGAAAACATATTGTGCAGGTCGACAAGCGAGCGCGCGCGCGCGCGCGTGTGTGTATAATAATAAACGATATATTTACCGGATCACGTGGCCGGCCACTTATAACCGACCGGAGTGTATCCGTTTCGCCGATTTTCACACGGTGGCCGAACCCCGCGACGAGCCGTTATACCCCGTTTTTATACTGTACGCAGTGGCGCACTGGAAAAAAAAAAAAATGTTTTCTCGTTCTCCCCCTCTTCTCTTTTCGAAATACAATTCTCTCCCCTACGGTCGACGCGGCCGCGGACCTCGACGACGGTGCGTTGCGCGCACTGTTCACTGTCTCTCTCACTCGCTCTCTCTCTCTCTCTCTCTCTCTTTATCTATACATGTACAATGCCGCCGTCGCCGCCAACAATGCACGGATAATTGGATGGAATGATAATAATAATAATAATAATAATAATAATAATAATAATAATAATATTATATAATACTAGTGAATGTTTTTTTTTTTTTTTTTACTATTTTATTTTTTTCTCGTCACGACGTACCGAAATCGCCCGATAAACACGCGCTCACGATAATTCATGTGTCTAAACAGAAATTTGACCGTGAGACTTTACTGCACGCAAAATATATTAGAACGCACCGTGTGCAGGAGTCGACCCGGCGCTTTTACGAAATTACGAATTAATTAGAAAAAAAAACATAAATTACACTGTATTTATATAGCAGTGGCCAGTGCCGTTGAGGTTAAAAGCGAAAAATCATCACGTAGAAACCACCATTCGGAAAATATCATTTTTCTTCGCTATGGACTTTCTACGACACCGCCGGGCGACGAATGATAGTTTTTTTGTAAATAATTTGAAAATATTGACATTTTGTAACTTAAACAAAAAAATGTAGGAATACATTTATACATAATATTTTGTTCCAAAAAAATACCAGACTATTTTTTATTCTAACAATTCATTTGCACATTTTCGAATCTGAATTTTACCGGCTGGATGGCGTAGTATATATACGTTTTATGGCTTTAAACTACTGCTTTCGAATTGAATCTAAATCACATCACGCGTGATATACCTATAGAATCGGAAGCTTTTAAGGATGGTTTTTATTCCGGGCCAAAAGACGAATATAAAATTAGCGTCGTGATGTCTGCAGAAAGAGCATATAGTGCTTCTTAAAGGATCAAATGGCTTGGAATGAAATTGCGAACCCCGATACACGAAAATAAAAGGCATTATTTTTTTTCTCCCTTCCAACATCGCGACAGACGATCTACTACCATGAGTTGCAAGTGAACAACATAATTTTTGCATCAGTAGACATTTTTCCACATCAAAATATTTCACCCTTCGCCCGTATTATTTTTGATAAACTACACATATTTGGCCCAAGATATACATTTTATAACTGCGATCGTATTTTTAATATTTATAGTTTATTTCTACTAAAATATGTATATACAGTAAGCACCTAACTATATTTATTTAATACTCTCCAATTTTTTATACAAGTCAGGAGATAACATGAGAATAATACAACAATAATATCGTCAAATGATATCTTTATGATTAAAATTATTCGATTTTCTTATATTCAATAGTTTTCAAGCATTATTAAAACTATAATCGCTTTAGAAATTACTAAATTTATAATTCATTTTCAAATTTTTAAATAGAGCTGATACTTAGGACGAATATGGTCACTGTTGTAGGTGGATAGTTGGGAAGTTTCGATACATAAAGTTATTTAATTTATACCTGTAACCAATGATAAACTATTGCTAACGAAAAATGGTTCGAAGCGAAGTTCAGTTACATATGTTTTTGAAATGCCGTAATATTTTCACGATTTTCGTCAAAATTTGATTTTAAAACTTCTAAAAAAAAAAATTAAAATACTACATTACACTCAATTATTTTTCAACCACAATAAGTACGACTTGTTATGAACATCCTGCTAAATTTTCAAGTATTTCGGTTTCATCTAACAATTTCTTCCACTGAGTATACTTACCAAACAAAAATTACGCGTAAAACTCACAAAATTAAAATGTCTATAAATAAATAGCTCAAAAATGACTCAAATATTTTAAAAATTATACCATGTCCAGGAAAAGCAAATATAAGTTTTCAGTCAAAATTGCATGTCTTTATGAACATGTTTAGTTAAACTATATTTAAAAAAAAAATTTTAAATATAACAGAATTATTTTTGTAAATTTTCTTGTAATTTCTACATATTTTTCGGTTTTGCTCAATTATTAAGATAAATAGATACTTTAGATATCAAAAAACGAGCTTCTATGTCAGTGGCTATAATATGTTAAAAGAAACAAAATTAATATCTTATCATGTTTCAATTGGAGCAATATTTCTAGTAGAAAATAGAAGTTACAAAAATTAAAATAAATAAACCGGGACGTCACGTTGCCTAAAATATTAATCAATTTTAATTTTTTAGTTTTTCTCGATTATTACCAAAAAATATTTTAGATATCAAAAAACAACTTTCTTTGAGAGTGGCAAAATATTAAAAGAAACAAAATCGATCTTTTGTTATTTATGAATTCGAGCAATATTTCTAGTAGAAAACATCGTGTGAACATAATACACAATAACGACAATAAAACGGCAACGCCGCGGTGCGCCGTAAATATTTATCGTTTTAGCTACAATTTTCTTTCTGGTTTTTCCCAAATATTTCAATAACCCCTTGGAAAATCAAAAAATGACTTCTCTTTAATGCACTGACTAGATAAAATTACCTTTCAGAAAAGATGCTATACTTGATCTTTCGGAGCAACTTTTCTACCGGAAAAGTTGACTACAGACACAAAAAATACAAAAAGAAAAACCACACATCATAGTAAAACCAATAAATCCCTCACTACGCTCCAAACTTAAAATTGACTGACAAAGTAAAATATTAACACGCGTGTATAGTGTGACTTCTTTGTGTTAAAACTATTAAAAATTATCCGTGTTAGTTTAAAATATGTTTAGTTGACTTTCGAGTTCATCGCGGTTTAAATGTATCTTCACGTTTTGCAAATTCCTATAGACATATAGATACGAATAAATATAATTTCTTTGTTAATTTATTGTAAAAATTTTATATTATATTCACTGTACGATGCTAAATATTAAATATTAGGTATACATTTAATTACGTGAAAATATAAAAATCTGTTCATATTGTATGCTGGAATAATTTTAAATTATTATTCAAATTTATGCGTATGACTATTGACCGTGTCCACGTAATCGTGTCCCAGTGTGCCTAAGGGTGTAGGTAAAACAAATCAAATCGTGGGGTAAAACTGCATAAAGCAAAGGCAAAACCTACTATTAAATAGCAATAAAAATGTTTACCTTCACCATCATAATATATAATATGAGGGCATGCTGGAAATAATAATACATATTAATATCGATTGCATAGGAGAATAATTTAATGTAACTTTGTAGTAGCGTATTATTAATAATATTATGTAGCAGACAAATTCGTAAAACGGGGATAAAAACCAAATATTATAATTCCGTATAAACTATAATATCTATAAGCAACGACCTTTCTATATACACTTTTATTTAGTAGCACCCAAACACAAGGTTAAGTTCTAGTCTGGTGACCACATTTGTGGGGTGATAATGGTAGTAGTTAATATATAGAATTTTTCTTCGTTATATAGATATTTTTTAGAGTAGACAATAGTAATATTCGTAAAAATATTTCAAATTTTTTTGAGTTTTTACTAATTCTAACAATGCTACTGTTAGCACATTAACATTTGTTTATTAATGTCGGGTTAGTAATATTCTGAATTTTAAGTACAAAATAGTATAAAATCATGATTTTTATGAGCTAGAGATATGATTTATAGCAATAACCCCCCCCCTCACAGTAAATATGTGCTAATATGCAATAAAAATGATGAAATAAGTAAAACTTTGCAGTTTCAATACGAAATACTTTTGATCAATATAAATAAACGTGAGGCGGGGGTACGGAAAACAAATCAACCCCACGATTCTGCTTATAGTCCAATAGGTAGGTTATAACTGTATACTAATGACTAGCGCCGTTTCAAAACTGAATCGACGCCACTGTGCTATTACCGTTTGAATAACCTAACCGTAAAATAATAATAATATGGAAATGAATCGGTTTTTGTAGATACAATTTGTATGTTCGCAAACTGCATGGATTGTGTAAACGTTCTCTCAACCAATACGTACAGCATATTGTCAGTGATTAAAACTAATTCAAATAATTATTATCTAATATCTAGTAATAATTTTCAAAAAAATGTACCTACTCTTTCGAATTTCCGATGTAAAATAGTTTCTACATGACTATTATAATGTGTATCTAGACGAATATTTCTCATACACTGTTGTTGTTAAACATTATAGCATATCTATGCCGAGATTGTACAATAATAATAATAATATATGAAGTGTGAACATATACTGAAACTACCTATATATGTAGTTAACAAATCGGAAATAATTTATTGTACAATTTAACAAGCAGTGCGAAGTATAATAATAATAGTAATAATAATGATAAAAAAAAAATGTACGAAAAAAAAACAACAATATACGACGACGCGAAAATACAATGTAATTCTAATTAAAGTATACATACACAGAAGGAAACGGTGCACGTTAATGGAAAAGACGATAAGAATAAACGTCGGAAGGAAAGGCGGAAGGAAGGAAGGAAGGAAGGAAGGAAGGAAAGAATGCCTGAACGTACTTAGTTATTAGCCGACACGGACGGCACGGCGCGGGGTGGTTAGACCGTATAGGACAGGGGAGGAATGCGTATAGGTAGGTATATAATATTATAGTGAAATGTCCGACGAACGGACGGGCAGCAAACACGGCACGTATGTTTTCTACCCCAGGATCTCCCCCGCCGTCCACCACAGCCGCCACCGCTACCGTGTCCCCCCCTCCGTGTTCCCCGCTCTGGGTTTCCACGTCGCAATATCCTATCCGACCAATCCGGAAGTACTCGAGGGGAGTGATTTGTCGTGGGCGCCGGTGCCCGATTGGTCGACATCGATTTTCCCGACGCCGCGCCCCACACGCACACGCACGTCCACCGCTGCCGCTGCCACCGCGGCGCGGGCGGCTCCCTCGCGCGCGCCCACGAAGTCTCGGCGGGTCAGTTGTACTATCGCGTCTGGTCCGATATCACACATTCACTCCCGACCGAGTGTGTCAACGCGCCAAAGTCGAAATCTACACACACACACACACACACGCACACTCGCACGCACCAGCGTGCACAAATTATAAAGATATTATTACACACACTGACACAGCGAACGTTGTCCATCATCGTCCAAAACATACAGATATTAAACTGTTCGAACACGACATTATAACAAAGGTACCCTATTTACTGTCGCGATAACCGAGACATACGCGTACGAGCAAAAATAAACTCGGCCATTCGAACATGATCCTACACGTTACAACGATCGTCATCGTATCGATCGGGTGAACGATCCGACGACTTTTGAAAACTATGTTGGACATCAAAACGTCGGACTACCTGAGCAGGAATGGGACGTTTCCCAACTTATCAATGATTTTCGCCGGTACGTGTCGTCAATTATTTTCCTATACTATATAATATATACGCGATAAATTAAGTTTATTTTAGACTTGCACTATCTGAGTAATCATTTTATTACGTAATTTTGCAATACAATTTTCAGTAAAAGTAAACAATATAATATATTTATATATATTTATTAGTTATATTATGTTATTTCAGAGGAAATTCTTACATAGATTATCTTGAGTTTATAAACCTACATAATAAATATATAATAGGTATGAGTTATAACCGTCATATAACATTACTGTAACATATTTTTGTTATTTTTGATGCAAAGGTAAAAAAAAAAATGGTTTATTCATTTTGAGTTTTAGTTTTTATTACATTAATATGTCTAGAAAACAGAAATTTTAGATTAATAGGTACTCAATAAAATATCAAATATCAAAAATATATATATTAACATACATATACAAACAAATCAATATAAATACACATATTTATAAAAGTATAAGAAGTATAATGTATAATGTATATGTATAAAACAAAAACAAAACAAAGCCTTCATTAATTCTGTACTTGAAGAGTGGCATATTTATAATGAAATGAAATAAAATAAGTATGTAAACATCGTAAATGTACAGAATAATTTTAAAAACACTATTCAACACCAATATATTTTATTTAATAAATCAGATTTTTTAAATTTATGTCATCAAATCGCGTTTTACACCTTTTCTAATCAAATTGGTTTAATCCCGGTATAAAAATTGTAATTTATCTATTTATATATTATTTTTATTTTATATTTAGCCACATATTATTTTTTTTGCTTTCGCTATTCTATTATGTATCTGAAGATGATTTTTTAGATTCTGAGTGGAACAAAAAAGCTCATGGTTTTACAAAGATGTTTGTTTTTTTTTTCATCTGTACGCAACTTTTCTACCAGAAGACTTGCTCAGATTTTTAAATGTAGCACCTTTTCTGAAAGTAAATTATTGCGGAGAGGTACTTTAAGAAGGTTATTTTTCGATTTTCTCAGGAGTTTTCTCAGCAAATATGAAAAACCGGGAAAAAAAGTAAGAAAACTGGGAAAATCGGTACAACATTAAAAAAATATCATTAAAGAAAATGTATAAAGCCTATTTAATTATTTTACAATAAAATAACATATATATAATACATTGTTGACAAAGCATCGCTATCAACTGAACTCCGCTCAGAATCCGTTTTTCGTTATCAATGGTTAATCGTTGCTAACAGATATACATTAAATTACCTATAATAGTGGCTGTACCCGTCTTCATCATCCTAGGACAGCTTTTTTAAATCAAAACCAGTCATATTTCCACATAACTATTATCATAATATACAGGCTTTGTTTTATTTTTATATGCATATGTCAAATTTATTTATTTTGTATATATTCCTATATATGTATATATTTCATATACTCGTTTTTATAATATGTTTTGGTTTCACTTTATTTATTTTACATACATTTTTATTTATTTGATACTAATGTTTATTACACACATGAAATATCAAGTAGTAATGTAATCTCACCAGCAGTCTCTTTCGTAGTTAGTCGAGACATTCCCGTGTCTCTTGATCAAATATCTAAAAACTATTTTTACTATTTACACAAAATACTCTATATATAAACTAAATAAAACAGTTTTAAAGAAATGCACACAATATATTATAGATTAAATAAGTTATACTAAAAACTAACGGCTTTTAAATTATGGATTTATTTTTTAAATACCTAAATCTATATCAAAACTCTATAACAATTAATAAAATATACACTGTAAGTATTTTAAAAAGTGTTTTCTTATAGATTATTTTAAATTAAATATTTTAATTAATAAAATTAATATTATTCTCTGATTTTATAACATTCAAATACTAGATAATTGACGAAATATTATATATATAAATATAATAATTTTACTTGAATAAAAATAATTAGCTTAGTAGACCTAATAAGTACTACTTAATATTTTAAAATGTTAACATGAGTGTTTAAAACTACAATTTTCAATTACTTTTCCATTGTATTTTACTTAGATATATAATTCGATTGCTTAAGTTTTAATCTTTATTAAGTTTAAACAAAAATCACGAAATAAAATGTAAGGTATAAGAGCGTTCAATATTATTATTAATTTTATAAATAGTCTATAATTAATGATAATATCGTATTTATATATTTATAAGTAGCATCAAAATGTATACAAATATAAACTGCCGGATTTTAATCATTCGTAGGTCGTTTATTTGTTTTGTTTATATATTTGAACACCCGTATTTCATTTCATTCTTTACGAAAATTTTTACTATTAAAAATTATAGGTCATTTAAAATAGTTAAATAATCGATTTCTAACGGTTATAAATATGATTTTTTTTTTGGAGGGACACTCAATCTCCTTAATTTCCCTTTTGACCTACCCCTAAACTACATGTCTATGAATAATTTAAGTTATATATTATGTTTGAATATATATATATATGTGTGTGTGTGTGTATATATGGTGATTATTCTAAAAATGAATGGCGTTTAACTTAACATTATAATTACTTAACCTAACTTAACCTAACTTATATCTACATAAATTATAATTACTACAACTTAAAGTACAACGTAAATTTTAATAATATGTAAATAATGATTGTTAATTTATAATTCTTTATTATAAACGTATTCGAAAAATACTATTTATTGATATAAATTTAAATTACTATATGTCATATACTATCACAATATTATTATACACGCATTCCGTTAAATACATATAATTTTCCTTCTTAACTTACGTGCAGTAAAATTGCATACCTCTATCGCCGACAAAAACACTATCATAATTCAAAGCTATTATCTGCTTTAGTTTAATAAGTTTGATTTAGTTTTCCCATGTTATAATTCTAATTGTTATTATTATCTATTGTTTCTATTAAATTAGTTTGTGCAATTTTAAATATTGCATATCTATTAATAAATCTACAAAAGTCAGAAAAAAATATATTTTGTCGTTCACAAAAAATATTTCATTATATGTAGGTATGATATTAATTTCAATACAAAAAACAAACAGACATACTTCACATGATGGGTGGACCATAGTTGTAGGGTAGAAGTCAGGAGGGTAGAGAAGAAATTAAATATATATCTGGACGCAAAGATTAATCATTGCTAACGAAAAACGATTCTGAGCGGAGTTCAATTTGTACATGTTTTGAAAAGCCATACAATTTACGATTTGAAAATAATATATTTCGTAAATTTTCCCGTTTTTCTTATTTCTGTTAGTAAAGTTGTTAACAGATAAAAAAAATAAATAAACATCATTGTAAAACCAATACATTCCTTTCTCCGTGTTCAGAATCTTAAAATACGGCCATGATTCGCATGATGGGTGGACCACTATTGTAGGTGAGAAATTGAGAAGATAGGATATATAGGGGAATTTAATTTACATCTATACGTAACAATAAACTATTGTTAGCGAAAAACGATTTGGAACGAATTTCTTTTATCCATGTACGTACATTTTCCTATTTTTCCTATGTTTTTTTTCCAATTATTATCAATTATTATCAGCTATATTAGATAAAATTTTCTTTCGGAAAAGGTACTCCACTTGAAAATCGGAGCAATATGCCTACTAAAAAAATTGTTCGTTAAAAAAAAATAAAAATAAATAAGCATCATTGTAAAACCAATACATTCTTCGTTACGCTTCGAATCTAAAATGAACTAACATGGATATTATAATATGATACGTATTTTATTGAAGATATATTAGCAACATTAAATTGAAAATTTTAAAACTTAGCTAAACTTACAAAAATTATAATAGGTTATTTCATTTTATTTATTTAATACGAACATGACCCAGAGTATAGTATTATACAAAATAGGCAAAAAGTTGCTCATTCCTTTTTATTTTTTAAAGGATAATAATGAAAATTCCCAAAGTAAATTTTAAAAACTACTAAGCAATTATAATAATTATAAATTGATTTTCACCTATCTAAGGTTTCATAACATTCTTGTGAATATGTTGTCTCTATTTTTGTATACACAGTTAATCATATATTAATTTTTTTTTTTTTTTTGTTTTATAGATACTCATTACAAAGGATCATGGAGTACGCATTCATCAGGGCAAACACAAGGTATGAATTTATTAGTTTATTATATCTTAACATGACGTATTTAGAATAGTTTTTAATACTTATAAACTTCATGCAGTGTGCTCGTATAATATAATATTGATAATTGATTATATGGATTGTATCAACATAATATTCATTAAAGAATTAAACTATAATTCATATTTTGTTCAAACAAAAATAATTATGCAATATACATTCCATTAAAAACTTAGTATTAGTTCATGGCTATTATAATAAGAATATAATACTCATACAAAATTTAAAAATCAGATATTAAAAAAATTGAACAGATTTACTTATAGAATATTTGTTTCCTTTTTTTTTTAATTCCGTTTTATTATATGCAAACAATATTCTGAGATCCATCTTATATTTATTAGATATTTATGATTAGAATATAAAACGGTTAATTAAAATAGGACATGCGTATAAATGAATTAGTTCATAAATACAAATAGTAATATTAAATTTGTAAAGTTTAAAAAAAAAACAATATGCCAATACGACCACGTATAAATCTATATTAGAATTCAAAACTGAAAACTTATATTCAATAGAGATATAGAACATTAATATCGTAAGCTACATTGAGATGGAAAAGAAAAGTCATCCTAAATAAACACACGACACGATTGTCCGGCAAAATCAATAAAATTCTATAGAAGGGACCTCACCTTTTGATCGTCGTCTCAACATATATATATATATATATCTGTTATATTCGCTTTCATTTTTTTTTTCCGTCCCAATCAAGACAATTTTAGGGGTGAAAAGGTCTATATAGTACAACAAATGCGCTTGATCACGTGCGAACACTATCAAAATGTTATCGTCTGAGCCGTTTTGGACAGACAATCAAATAACATCCGCACGGATGAGCAATTCTTCTTGCATGTAAAGCAGATAGTTACCCATTGATTTCTGTAGCCCCTGTCACTGAATAGGATTATCATAACTCTAATAGAAAAACCGTGACGTGTATAACGAGATACGAAAAAAATAATAATATAGATTGTAAAATCTCCCTCCACTCGGAATTTAAAAAAGTTATAATACACATAGAATAATCCTTTAAATTTGGTTTTTTATTATTATTTAGCTTATATAAATGAGTTTTACACGTGGTGTATACACGTTTCTTTAAATACAAGAGATATTTTTATATTTTGATGAAATCCAGTATAACGTGAAAATAACTTATAATGGTATACCCCACAAAATAAATTACAAAACGATAATACTGCTGATGTAAGTGCCATTGTTTTAGGAGGGAATTTATTTAAATGGAAAAGCACATGAGTACATGTCGAGTGATTTGCTTTATATTTGTACACAACGATAAACCATTGATAACGGAAAAACTATTCTGAGAAAAGTATATTTAGTCCTATTTTTCCCTTCACTGTAAAGGAAACCTAAAAATTAACAGAAATAATATTACAGATTGTCAATTTTCTCCATTTATTAAGAAAACTATAAAAGGCAGAAAAGTTTTTACAGATACAAAAATGAAAACAAAACATATTAAAATCAATATATTCTTCGCTTCGCTCAGTTTAAATTATATTGTGTATTGACCATAAATTTTAATTTTAAAATAAGAGATTTTAGGTTTTTTTTTTTTGTTTTTTTCATTTATTATACATTCAACAATCAACATGTATATTAAAATCAATAAAATATATATATATATATATATACGAACAAAACCAATTTCAGAAAACATTATTTCAATCGCTGACTAGCGTATCTAATATATTCATATAGTAATAATATTATTATTGAACGACAAAAAAAAATGAAAGCCGCTAAAGCTGTTATACAAATACCTCGGGGCTCCATGCCGCGGTGTGATATAAAACAAACTGAACGCGGACACCTAATTCCATTATAATCTCTTATTATTATTCGACCACCGTCAAAGGCCACAAGCATAACGGTCCGATGAACTTTGATTAGACACATCAAAGGCATCACGTTAGTCATACACAACCGGCGGCATTACTGTAAGAACCGACGACGCCCTAGGCTCGCCACCATCACCTTTGTAAAAGCGTCCAACTGTAAAAGCTGAAATATGACTAGGGGGTACTCGATATTATAAAAATTCAATCAAAACACTTTGCTGCTGCAGATACCAAAAACATTATACCAACATGATGGCAATTTCAAATTTGATTTTGACTTTTGTCAACTGGAAAATAAAAGAGTGGAAGTTACGTGCTTACAGAAAACGCTCGAGTTTACACCGATTTTATACAAATTTTAAAACTGTGTACAAAAACAAAATGGATTTATAAACTATTAAAAACAGATAAACCGTTGTAAAAGTCCTGAAATCGGGTTTTACATCAAACACATACTCGTATTTTTATTATGTAAATTATTTTATTTTTATTACTATATTCGTTAAGTATTGAAAAGAAACAGGTGAAAAGGCATTAATGGCGAGCATCTCTATAGTGAAGATTCACTTTAAATTATTACTCTTATATGTAAACAAATTACATGATAACAAAATTCTCCAAAGGTGAGCATCCATCATGTTATATTAATTGAGATGTGTATATACGATAAAGAAAATCGAACATTACCACATTTGACGATTTAATACGGATGCGTTTGAATTTGAGCCTCTTTTTTGAAATTTTTCGTACTGAATACTTTTTCCTCGGGCAAGTAGACCGGCTTTTCCCCATGCAAAAACTCATTGTTATATTTTTTAAAAAACCAAAAATAAAATATTGTTTGTAAACAGTTTTTTTTTTCACAAAACCAAAAATAGACTTTATATAAATATAATATATTTTAAAATAAAATATTGAAATAGAGGAATATAAATATTTTTATTAATGATTAGTCGTTAAATTTCTATGATTTTTTAAAGTTAAGGATAATTTAAGTTATTTTCACTGTTACTACTAAATAATACCAATCGATTCATTATTTTGTCCTTAAAAAATAATTTACTACAAAAATGTATAGGAAACTAACGACTCAACATTAATAAAAATCTGTAACAACAAAATTTTATTTCAAAAATAAATTTATAAAATGTCTACATCGGATTATTTTTCTTTAATTTTTTTATCTTTAGTTTTAAAAAATGTAAAATTGGAGAATCGTATCGCAAAGCTCTAGTATAGTCGTTTAGTAATTGTTAATAAAAACAAAACTTATAAATATTACAAACAAACAAAAATTATAGCATTTGATTTCCGTGAGACGCCCTATATAACGAGAAAATGTTTACCATGACACGACTAAATACAATGAGACATTGCAGTCAAAGGTGCATTTAAAAGGATGGGTTAGCTAACCCCAGGCAGAAAAATACTCAGCGTGATAAAATTTTAATGATTTTATGTAGCGGTATTAGGAGGAAAGAGAAAGCAAGGTTGGGTACCAGTTAAAAAAAAATAAATAAAATATTTTGGTGTGGACTGTGCCCATGCTAATCGGGGAAAGGAAGTGCCAAGGAGGATATCTGTTTGCCCCGGGCTGTACAAATCCTAGACGCGCACCGACTTCAGTAAATTATTTATAATTTATAACGTACGCGATATAATATTACAAATTATTGTCATTATTGTGCCGTACGAGCAAGTGAAGCGTACGTCAGATTAATAACGCGCGATAGGCCGGGAGGGCGGTTATAATTAAAATCGAACTCCTCCGGCCGTGCGTAATCGAACGGTCCTATACATCACGCGAGCGGGCGCGCGCGCGCGACACCGATATGACGGAGTGTCGGCGGGCGAAAAGCGACTTTTGGCCGTTGTCGTCGTCGTCGCCGTCATCGTCGTCAACATATAATATTAGGTGGGCGGATTTCGGCAGTGCTGAAAGCTGCGGCGGCACCGACGACGGCCAAAACGCCCCAACAAGTGACCGTGAACAAGAGGCCGGTACACACAACAGGCGGCGGCGGCGGCGGCGTTTAACTCGAACCCGAAATCCATCCCGTGGGATTACGACGACAACGGCGACGCGCGACGCCGCCGATGTCCAACCGACCGTGTCGCCCCTGCAGCCGCCGATCGTACCATTATTATAATATTATTGTTATTATTGTGATACAATATTGCAGTGTCGTTTCTGTGACGGCGCGTACATAAAAGCACCGCGGTCGACAGATTTTTTTTACACCGATTTAATAAAAAAAAAAAACCCCGGTAATCGTAACGTTAACAGCTATACTATAATATGCGAAATTTTAGAATTTTATAAATGCTGATAATGTTAAATGAGTGAATATCGCTGTATTAGGAAGGCAGTTGAAAGGAAGTAGAATATAGAGTAAATTAATTTATATATTTTGTGCTCAACGTTAAACCATTGGTAACGAAAAATACGATTCGAGTAATACAAGTATTATTCGAATTTCGAAGTCATATTTTACCATTGCTGTCAAAGATAACTCGGAAATCTAAAAAAAAAAATGTACTGTTTTCCCAATTTATTAAGAAAACTACAATAAATACTAAAAAACTGACCTCCTCAAAATACAACCGACTAGATCAAAAATTCTACAATAAGAAAGTTCTTATAAAATTTTTGATTCGAACAAGATTTCAGAAGAAATGACACAAAAACTAAAAGACATAATTTGTCTTTAACGAAAAAAATTAATACAAACAAAGAACGTATACAAAAAATTTTATTTCAAGATGTGCAGGGTACGAAAGTCAATCTAACTCTCAAAAATGTATCACAAAATACAAGTGCAATAATAATAACACAATATAACTATTATGAATAACAAATAATAATAAATGTGACGATATTTTTAAGCATAAAAAAATATTGTGTAAAATATAAATATTATAGTCTTCTTAAATTTATTATGAACGGAAAAAAAATGTTTTTAAAAAGGGTTAGACCATAATAATGAACTTCCACTGCGGTTATAGAGAGGTGGTATACTTGACATAAAAGTTATGGACCGAGAAAGAAGAACGATCGCCCTTTTCCCCCTATACACACCTTATCCCCTACGATCCCTCTAAGCTGTCAATCAGCTCCGCAGACGACCGTACACGAGGCGAGTCCACGTGCCGATAATGGAACAGCTAAAGCGTTTTTGTAAGCACTCAGATGACAGACCCCCACCAAAAAGTATCACGTTTAAAATGCAACCTAAACGTCGCTTATCAAGTCAACCTGAAAGAATAACAACTCACAGTTATTTACTCGCTGACCTTTTTTTTTCTTTTTTTTTTCTTTTTACACTTCCCTTCCTCCATGACAAAGTTATTAAACGACCCCCGAAAAAAAAACATAATTCCGGCCACTACGTCAACATTTTACAGAAGCAGCCGTTTCTAATTAACCCAGCGAAGCGAGAACTAAGCTGCAGTATTATATTTTATCAAACTACCAACTTTTACTACTAAGTAATACATTTTTAGCTCGACATAAATCGTATGCTTTAGAGATGCGTGCAGTTTTTTTTTTGTTTTAATAAAGAAAACTTTAATTAATTTTCGTAATATTATTTCATTACAAACTTATTTTATACTATTATAATTTATATGTATACACAAATTATTTCATAAAAATTAATCTTTTTGGTGATTAACTAAATGCAAGTACTTACATCATATATCGATTTGCCTTGCGAATTTTCAAAATAGTAACAAACTAATTCCAATCATCATACACACATTCATAAAAAGTATAATACTGCTAGCAGGCGTTCCACCTTTTTAGAAAGAAGAGAGGATATATAAAGTAATTCAAGTTATATATTATGTAAATATAAACCATTGATAATGAAAAATGATTCTAAGTTTATTAATAATATTTTCCCCTTTTTGCCAAAGTAACCTCGAAATCAACAAAAATTTTACAACGAATTGTCAGTTTTCCCCGTTTATTAAGAAAACTACAAAATATGATTTCCCTAATGTACCAAATAGATAAAAAATTTACAATAAAGTACCTTTAAAGTTTTTTACTAAAGCAATATTTTTGGTAGAAAAGTGATTTACAAATACAAAAAAAATTAGAATTAAAAAAAATACATCACATTATATGAACCAAATGCTTCACCTATAACTTAAAATTCTAAAATAATTATTGAAATCAAAATGTGGAATTTTTAGTCATCACAAGTAACTGTAAAAGTGACAAAAATCTGATTAATATATAATTTATATACTAAGTAAGAACAGTATAATATTATATACTTAATAAATACACGATTCCGTGCTTCGTGTTCATTACTTTCCCTTCGATTTTCATTTGTTTTCTTCATTATGTAAATGTATAATACAAATCCCTTGTTTTTTTTATCCCTCTATTATTTTCCCACCCTATATACATTACCGAATTTATGACCGTGTGAAATAATCCTATATATTAGTATATTAATTCCATCATACTTATTACAAATCGATTTTAGTTATATCAATATTGTCAATTTTTACATATTGTCTGTTACTAATTTTTAAATTTCTAAAAAAGTATATAACATATAAATAATTAAGTTTTAAATTTTATTTTCACAATAACGCAATATATGTGACCAAAGATATGGTCCCAGGGAGTTAAGGGCCTAAGTCAATTTGTACAGTTTTCAATCTAAGCAAACTAAATTTTGAAAAATTGTCCACACAACTTAATTATAAAAAAAAGCCAAAAATGAAGTTCAATCTTTCTTCCTTGGATCAATAGATATATTAAATTATTTATGAACATCCTATAATATCTATTACTTACGAAAAATCATTAAATAACTTGTCGTCTTGCACTATAATATTGTGGACCCTAGGGTGATATTTGGTAGTGGTTTTGTTTACTCACTGCCTGATGTACGCAAACAATTTGACGTACTCCCCGTTTTATTGTCCCCTCGGGATATTTTTTTAGTCCCTTTGTTCAAATTAACTCGCTACAAATTATTATTATTTAGACTTTATTTAATAGAAAATAGATGAACTGTGATAAATAAATCAAGAGAATATTGTCTATTAATATTATTATTGTCTAAATATAATGAATTGTTGTACATTGTTATTGATTAATTATTGGTCGAGTGTATTATTATTTGAACAATAAACTAAATGTAGTAAATATATACAACGCCTGCATAAATACAATGTATATTATAAACTCTGCGTTTTTAAATTGCAATTGAACCGTACAATTTACTTGAAATTTATAACATTTCAGATCCATATCAAATGTTCGGAGCCACCAGCAGTCGTTTAGCTAGTTCTGGTAAGTTAAAGTATTCAAATAATATATTGTCATAATATGCCTTCAATATATAATACTTAATTACTTTAAGATTAATTAATGGAAATCGATTTCGTTAAAAATAAATTGTTTAAATATTGTATTATGTTATCTTTCCCTTTCATCTTGACTAAAATACACTTTCAAATATAATAAGTTTGTAATTTTCAAAAAGATAATAATATTATATTATATGTATTTATCTGTTACTTTACATTAGGTATAGGTACCTATTAAATGTTTAAGTATATTGTTTCAATATGGTAATGACTATCGTGGTTCATTTTTTTTTTTATTGTTATTATTGCCAAGGGTGTCTATATAATAGCGTAAAAAATATTCCCACGCGATACTTGACACTTTTCCGGCTTTGGTTTGAATTATGTTCGGCTTGCGTGTATACTGAATCGACTTTTGCCACACTCTCGGCTCACAACCCGTCATTCGTCACGGTCTATGATGCCCCTAACAATATCTTATCTGGCAACCAGGTACATGTTTTATAACAACATATATCAATATAAATAATTAAGACTGTATACGGTCTCTTTTTTTTCATTTCTACCTATTGATTTAATATTATGGAAACAGTAAACAAAATATAATATAATAATAATTGTTTTTAATCGATTTTAAATAAATAATTTGTAACTATAAGCCTACATTTTAGATACACTCATATATATATATCATTATGTTATTTTAACTTTTAATCGAGCAAATCGCGCTTTTGGTATTTGTTTTAAACTAAAAAAATTATACAGTATATATAATCATAAACTCATAACGTAATCGTGCATATAAAATCCCATTAGTACTACATTATTTTACGTCATTAAATAATATTATTTGGATACTGTACATCAATATTTTGTTTACTTTTGTTAACTTGAAAGACCACTTTATCCAAATATCCGTTATTATTTTGATTAGAGAAAACAAATTGTAAATTCGCCTCTTTTAAACAAATAATTTAAACTATAATAATATACGTATTGTATGTGTATGTTGAAACACAGGTTCTGGGCAAATTCAACTTTGGCAATTTCTATTGGAATTATTGTCCGACAGCAGTAACGCGGCGTGTATCACGTGGGAAGGTACAAACGGTGAATTTAAGTTAACCGACCCGGACGAAGTAGCACGTCGATGGGGTGAAAGGAAATCCAAGCCGAACATGAACTACGACAAATTAAGCAGAGCATTAAGGTAAACCAAGTCGTGGATTACGACAAATAATAAATATTAAGATAGATAAAAAATTATTTAGAAAATGTGAATCATATATCGAATATAATAATAATATATAGTTTAAGACAAGGGCATATAAATGCTCTAACTTACGAGCCTTCAATACAAATTTTGTCTACAATAACATTTCGACGACAGTGTTTGATGAAAATAACCATATACCGTAAATATCATTAAACTTTTTTCGTGTACCGATTTTCGGCATTTCACCTCGAACACACCTCCGCAATTGGATTTATATACGCAGAACACCCCGCGTGTGTTCCGGCAGCGGCTGACACGTAGTATTCGCTCATCCGCTGCGTACCTACCAAAGGGCGAACGTGTAATATATCCTAATTACGGGGTAAGGGCGGTGCAGGCGACGGAATAGAAGCGAAGGGGTGTGAAACTGGCTTTGGGCGCTCTAATTGTGCGCGAGGGGTTGTTGGTCGGTGATTGCCACTGATTGTGCGTTAATCACTCACGCCCTTCCTCGCCCATGGAGAAAACGCGACGATACAACTGGAAACGTTTATTAATTCCGTGTGCGTATGTATATATATATATATATATATATATATATGTATACGCACAGAAACTGTTTTATTATATAGGCGCACACCGATTCCTCACTTATAATCCGGACATTTTGTTTATCGATTTTACCGTTTCGTCCCGGTGTGATTGAAAATATTCAATTCTTTATCGTTGTAAAAAAGATATATACATATACAGCTGTCCCATGAAGATATATCCATTGTAATATCTCTAAAGATAATAAATATAATCAAATTCTGTTTTGTTTATATTATTCATAAGGATAAAAACTATAAACATTTATATTTAAATTAATTTTTTATGTGTTGGTAAAAAAATAATTTTTTATTTTATTATTTTAGAAAAAATTGAAAAATGAAATTTTATAGTTTATTCTTCAGAAAATTTTGACGTTTCAAATTTTATTTTCATTAAATTCACGATTTTTAATAATTTTTTAGTTAGAGAAAAAAGTGATTAGTTAATTAGCCATTATAATAATAATCAATTAGCGAATGCAATTACAGTAGAGTGCATAATTATAGGTACTTTAGGTACTTTTTAGTACATAGGTACTTTTCGCTGAACTTTAAAAAATTATTAAAAACCATGAATTTAACGAAAACATTTAATTTAAAATTAAAACGTCAAAATTGTCAAAATAATAAACTCTATACTAGAAGTATTCAAACTTTTTCATCCACAGCTCCTTTATGTCTTCACAAAATTTTACGGCTCCCAAATAATTATTAATGACAAAAAAAAACTGTTACACCTACGTACAATTTTTCCTAACATTAACTATAAATCGTTGAATTTTGAGAATATTTTTAAGCATTTGATGCAGTTATGATATTTAATCGATTTGTAAAAAGTGTACATAATAATTTATCAATTATTCATATTTTTTTACAAACACACACACTAAAAAATGTACATTTACTTATAATCATTCAAGTTATTTATTTTTTTATTCGTCCCTATACTTGCTCTATAATGATATATTAATAATAATTCCATATTGCATCACGCGATTACAAAACTCATTCGATGTTTTTGACTAGGAAATGAAATTAAGTCAACGGGATTCAAAAGGGGACCGGATATAAATTGATGACCGTGGGTAGGAAAACCATTTACCGTCAACTACGCAGTTATTACGACTGGGAATCATTCCCATTTAGGTCCCTGCAGACCATCATATATACTTCCGACTATACAATATATCCTACCTATACCTGATGTTTAATCGACCGCACAAAACGATAATATTTCAACAGCAATAAATTGTATAACCTTTAAAAGACGAGTAAGGTACAATAATTATAGGTATTATTCGTCTTTTGAAAATAAAACGTAAAATAAAACCTTGAAAATAAAAGGAAATTATAAAACTCTAAAATAAACAAAACAAAAGTTTTTGTGAATAATAATGATGTACAAAAATATAAAAAATATACTTATATTAAAATATATACATATTATATTTTGTTATTTTTTTTTGCTTATAAAAATATGTGCACGTCCTTAACATGATATTGTATTCGATCGGTTTTTGCAGGTATTACTACGATAAAAACATAATGACGAAAGTGCACGGAAAAAGATACGCGTACAAGTTCGACTTCCAAGGATTGGCAGCGGCTACTCAGCCGGCGGCCGCAGATCCCACCGCGTACAAATATCAGTCGGACTTGTTTATGACGACCTATCACCACCATCACCATCATTCACCGAAATTAAACTTCATTTCACCTCACGCGCCCGGAATAACGTCTAGTACAGGTAAATATTATTATTAGAATGTAGCTTATAACTCTCCTCTAGCTATACTTTTGAATAACTTTAATATACATTCAGCGACTTCATTATGCCTATAGTCCCACAGAAAAAAAGCCTTAAGTCAACTTTGTATAATTTTCAATACAACCAAATTACATTTTGAAAATTATTGCTCAAGAACAAAGTAGCAAGATTATTACTAAACGGCTAAATTACTTAACAGCCTAATCTAAATACAATCATTCTAAATATCTTAAATCGTTTATATAATTTAATATAATTTTATAATTGTGCCTTTTTTGTCAAACAAAAAATGCATCGTAGTAACTTAAGATATTTTAATCTTTAGTATAACATGAATAGTTAGAATATGCATACACGTATGCGATTTAGGATAAAATTAAAATTCCAAAAGTTGCCTTAATCCCTGCTTATTCCCTGGAACCAAAGATATATATTGTCAAAATAATATTATTCTAATAAATTATCATTTTTTTGTGTTATAAACAATACATTTTAGCGTGTCTGAAAGAAAAAAAAATATTGTTATACTCGTATCCCGCAAAAAGGTATTAACCTAAATACGAAAAGTCATTAACTTCCATATATTATATTTTTTTTTGTTTTTTTTTTTTTTTTAACGGCAATAAATAAAAACTTAAAGGGATTCATATTATGGTAACGTAAAACCGACTAGTGTAATTTCATATTATATATTATTATTTGTATCAACGATTAAAAATTTACGTTTTTAATTTATTACTGTACATTAATATATTGTGAAATAAATAAAATATATTATTTTGAAATAATTTAGAGTCTACTAAAAATAATATAATTTAAAAAAAAAAAATCAATAATGTGTACTGGAATTCTACGTTACCTTTATACACTTTTAAACCATTATAAAATAGTAAAAACAATCAGTGACATGATGGAGAACATTTATTTGAGAGGCGATAATCGTCTCCGAGATTTTTAGAAAATTTGGAAGAGGGTGTCTAATTTATATTTGACATAATAATTGAATAATAGAAATTGTTATAGATTATAATTTAATTGTCTGTTAATATTATCTGTAAAAATAATGACAACAATAATTATAATAAGTACTATTATGTGTTCAATATCACGTATGTACTTTACTGTTTAGTTTTAATGGAACGCATGAAATGATACATTTTTTCGCATTTTTATCAAAATTCATTTTCATTAAAATTTGAATTATTTGCGCTTATAAAACAAATTACAACATTATGCTTAAATATTTTTATAGAAATTTGTATTAAATTTTCAGAATTTTCGCTTGGGGAAAACAATTTTAATCACATAAAAAACAAATAAAAACCTAAAAAAAACTCGACAATTTTCAGTATCTATAATTATCTGAAAAATGTCCAGAATATTTTGTAAATTTTACCAGCGAAAACAGCTATTCGATATTCTGTGAAATTTCCGGCCTCTAAGACTATTTTTCACTGAATTATGTTTAAAAATTGATATAAAGGGAAAGCGGGGGTAAAACCCCCTCGGGTTATGTTTGGTTCCAATAATAACAAGAGACATTAATTTTTTTTTTTTTTTAAGTCTTCTATAGTCCCTCTTTTATTTTTCTATTCAATCAATGACAACTACTGAATAGTATTCAGTGTTTATTATTTAAACTACACACATATTTTGAGCGAGTCAAAGCCAAAACAATATTTATGATGATGCAACGAGAGACCTTATTTGACTGAGACTACAATGGGGCATAAACATTTTACAAAGTTTTGGAGATCTTCATGAGTGGATTGAGAAAGGGGATAAACCTCAAACTCCACCTTATTTGTACCTACAGTGTTTAAAAATAATTCTATTTAATTCAATTTTTAAATACCTAAAACACATTTCTATGTTAAGACAAGTCGACCGCTACACAAGAATCAGACAGGTACGCAAAAAAAACTTTGAATAAGGTTCAAAACAATTGGTAATAATTAATATTGTACCTATAATACAATAACATGATCTACTCTCTACGCAACATTTGTTGGTGTCTCTATAACTTGTAGCATTGCATAAAATTATACATATAATCCTAAGCGTACATACATTTTAAAACAGAATTTATAACCACAGGTATACAACATTTTTCTATTATAGTTGAAACAATGTACATATATTACGAAAAAAAAAAATAAATACATTTTCTGATTTGCTCATGAAATTAATTTAAATAAATACAAAAAAATACAAAACTTAATTATAAAAATTAAATTAGTTATTATATGAAGTATTACTAAATAAATTAAAGTATATAATTGATTTTATGAACTAAGAATTCGATTTTACAATTTACTATTAAATCACAACATAAGAGACAAATTGTTTGATAAACTATTACTATTTAAAATTGTACTATGATTTGTTTAAAAAATTAAAAATAGCCATTTTTTAGAATAAAGTTTTAGTGGTTAGTGCTATAATTGTATAATATTGACTCATGGAAAAGAAAGTCCTTGTGATTTGATGTGCTCTGACTAACGATTAAATAATATAATAGATTAAAAACCACAATAATATTCATGTTTGCAAAAATTTCAACAAAATGCAGAAAATAAAAGACCATACCATACTTGTACATATACATATTTGATACCCAAACAAAATTTTTAACCACCAAACATTTTCTGAAAATCTATATTACACAATGGCTATTTTGAATTTGTTTCAAGAAATTTAAGTCAAATTTCAATTTTTTTTATTTTAAGTCTTATTTTTATTTATTTAGTATATATTAACTGTTGTATCGCAGAGGCAAACTAATTATTTTCAAAAGATATACACGATTAAAAATATTGAATAGAAAAAAAGTTATTTCAAGTGTCAGATCATTGTGTGTTTATATTATGTAACCTATTTATTTTGTATATATATATATATATATAAAAAAAAAAAACCATAGGAATAGTAATTGTTAAAAAGTACTTTTTGTAAATCGGACGATTGCTCTCTTCTTCTCCCGGCAGTGACGAAATTATTCGACCGCCACCGCGCCTGCTTCCACTCGGAATAAATAACAATAATAATAATAATAACTATCGAGTTTTTCGTTACGATACTATCGTGTCGGCGCGTTGAAATCCCGGGCCCTAAAATCGGTCGCGACGATTCGCAACGATAATATTACGACGGGTGTTCGCGGCGGCGGCGACGGATTTTTCCCCGTTTGTCACCCGCCGCCGACGCCGTTGCCGCCGACCGGTAAAACTAGACAAACACCTCCGGCGGCCGCTTACGAATAAAACCGTACATTATGTAAACGACGGCGACGACGACGATTGTGCGTTTAAAGCGTGAAAATCGCACGCGGGGACCCAAGAGCATCGCGAACGGGCGAAACGCAAACAAAACTTGTCAACCGCACGCCTTTTACCGGCGACGGCGACGGCGGCGGCGGCGGCGGTGGCGGCGGTGGTGGAAATTTACACGGAGCAGTCGTGACGGCGGCCGCGGCGACGAGGGTGCGCTCAAATGTGTGTATAATAAATCGCGTTGCCGGCGGGCGTGATGTGTATTGACCCGTTTACGTGTACGTATATATAAGCGACGTATACGTGTACACCTACTTATATACACTGGGGGGGGGGAGAAAGAAAAAAAAACGGAGGAAAAAAATGAATAGAAAGAAGAGTCTGTACGCGATAACGTTTACGTATATACACACCTATATACCTATGTAATATTATAATATACGCTGCACTCGCACGCCCGTACCCTTAAAAGCGCAGTCGTGTGTATGTGCTTTGAACTATAGACGTGTGTGCATTTTTTTTTTTCGTATTTTTTTTTCTTCGCGATTCTCCAAACGATCCTTTCCCTGAACGCGCAATAAATAGTATACATTCTTTTTATGGTCAATAACGACAACAATAATAATAATAATAATAATAATACAAATGTTAAACTATCGGTAAACCAACACGGCAAACGCACTCCGCAGTCGTGTACGCGTCACGCCGCGGGGTGTTCGATATTAATTCTTCTCGACTCGTCTAATAATAATCGATATCCGTAAATTTAAGCGGAAAAAAAAACGCTATCACGTGTAATACGGCGGCGCGTCGGTAAAATATAAAAACGTAAAAAAAAAATTCATCTCCGTCCCTTCAGATATCTGTACATTATATCGCACGCTTCGCCCCGTTCGCGAGATTAATTTCGGCTATTGTCGAAAAACGAACGCTGCCAGCGCCTTTAATTTAACGACAATATGCAAATGCCGGGAGAAACTTTTATTTTGTGCTCGCGTATACATTCGGACGGCGAACGTGTTGGTGCAACAGCTACCTATATATTATTATTATATAAGTTACGTGCGGCATTCGGACGAATATTAACCTAAATCGAATCCCCTAAATTGCCAACGAATTTGCATATCAGACGCGCGCTATTGGATCGCGAGTTGTGCGGAACGGCCAGGTTAAAAAGTTTCAAAAAAAAAAAAAAAACCAATGACATTATTGTTATAAAATGCGGCGCCCCCGGGACGTCATAATGCGTAACGTATACGTTTATATTATGACGCGTTTATGTTACCGTGAATCAATTGGGACCGTATATTTATAGGGAGGGAGGATTATTGGCTCTATAGTTCCCCTCTATGTCCCCCGTCGTCGTGTTTTTACTCTCGTAAATTATTTCCGAATAATATTCTAGAACGAACGATAAACATAGTCGTGATATTATAAGATTTCGGCAACGCGGCCCAATCGTATATTAACATACTGAACACGAAATAAAATGCAACCCAACGTTGTTTTGCATACAAAATTGGCGTCTATTTTCGATTAATTTCCTAACGATAGAATTTTAGTTTTATACGTGTATATTTTTTTGTTTAGTGTTTATCATTCAATATTCCAAATTAAAATAAAGTTATTGAAATATTACGCTTTCGGACCATTGCCATTTATCCTTATCATTTTCGGACGTCTGCGCCCTACCGCCCTATCCATACACCATAATATATTATGATCTAAGTTCCGTGATTGCACGGAATAGCACCATAATAAAAACAAACCAATTTTAATCAAATCATTTCTTTTCCTGGGGCACACTTTATTTTGTGGGGAACAATATTTTACAGATATGCCTGTTTAGTTAGTCGCGTACCGCGTACTCGGGCATCCGCGGTAACATAGGGTACATGGTTTAAGCGAACGATTCGGAGGGCATAACGACCGCCGAAGCGCCGCCACCTCGTGATTTATACGCGAAGGCAAACACGGTTATAATATTATTATTATGATACTACACAATATTATTATTATTGTCGGGAGACCGTCGTCAGACGCGTTGTAAATTCGTCGGCCGGCACCCTTAATAAGCGCGGGCCACCGCCGCGGCGAACATTAAGAGGCTGGAGATTTAGTGGCGCGCGCGGACCGACGACGGTGGCGATATTTATACGCCGAAACGAATCGTCTGTCTCATTAGCCGTCCACAATGGGCCCTTAATGACTGCAGCGCGCCTTCGCCGTCCGGCCCTCGCCACCACGCCGCGTTTAATGACTATACGCGCGGGACCCTTCTTTATTTTTCCGCGATGCGCCAGTCCTGTCTGCACCAAGACATTGTATCCAGTGATTTTTCGCTCGGGCGCCCGGCACTATAATACACCGTAACGCGCGCCATATATTATATTATTACATAATACGCTACTCGTCAACGCGTCATCAATAACGTCAAATTATGATCATCCTAAGCGGTTATTATGTCGTACAATAAAACACACGAGTATTATAAATCGTTGTCGTTCTCGGCCGAAGCGCGACGTGACAAATTATTATTATTATTATTATTATTCACGAGGCGCGGCAGCGGCGCACGGTGCGCGGCTTCCGTCGTCAGTCCGACGAAACGAATATCATCACCATGCTCTCGTGTTCTCTCCCCGCATACGTAATTATATTGAAATACATGGGAATTGACAATTCGCCCAAATTAATCCGTCCTAATATTGTAATGGTAACATCCGTGTTTGCCATATTAACATTCGAGGAGAAAGATTATTATAGTAACGATAATCATTATTGTGTAGTGGCGACCACAACCGAATTAATCAATTATTAAATTATTTTCATTGATTAGACACCTTATAATTTTGTCCTTTTTGAATTGTATATTATACAAAAGTACGTTTGTTATTATTCCTGTCCATTTTATCTTGAACATTTTTCGATAACGCCACGCATTTCAAAATCCTTTAGTTTTATTTTCCGTAACGATTATCCAAATGTCATAGTTGTGCAAATTCGCATAGCATTTACAAACACTTCCAATAACTTTACCCTTACCAGCATATTTATTAATAATAATTAATACACAAGATAGCATAATCTGCATTTAACATTGTATAATATGCGTCCGACTAGGCATCGAGTAAAAATATTCAAAAAATATGTCAATCTGTCGCGAAATATCATCAATTTATATAAATATACGAAATGTAAAAATTTAAATCGCCCTTAAAAATAATAATAAAGAATTAATTATACAAACTTTTTCACAAATTGAACAATTCATATTATTATTATTATTATTATTATTAATATTATTAATTTTTTTGATTATTTTCATACAATAATTTGTCATTAGTGTAAAATATAAGTGCATCGGTCGAAATAATATGATAATTGTTCGTCCCCGAGGATGGGATTGATAGACGGAGCGATTAAAAAGCGTTAACGAGGTCCGGGTACACGGAGATTTAAAAAGAAAAAACCGTCAAATATGCGATCAGTCATGTTTTTCGTGCTGCAGCAGAGCGGAATCATTCGTGTAAAACACGCGTGGGGCGAGGCGGTGCCGATGAAAGACAGAAAGAAAGAGAGACAGAGAGAAAGAGCGCGCGAAAGAGCGCGAGAGCGAGAATGAGAACGGGGAGAGAGAAAGAGAGAGAGAGAGAGAGAAATAACGGGATAGATACAGAGAGAACGACAAAAGCGATCACGGACGAGCTTTTGTCGGGCGTCAGTCCCGGCACCGGAAATTGCTTGGCGCTGCTGAACCGATAGCGCGCATCTCGCTGCCGCCACCACTGTTCCCCGGGACCGAAAAGCGTTTATTAAAGGCCCCGGCGGCGGGCCGCGAGCAAACTCCTCCGATCCACAACGACACTACAGCAGGCAAGTTACCCAAACAAATGCGACCGCGTTGTTGTCTTTGCTAAACACACGCGCACACGCGCGCGTAAGTAATGTTATTCGAACCGTAGGGTAAGCGTCAGCGCACACGAGAGACGGTTCGATAGCGGTCCACGGAGTGCGACGAATCGTGCGCGTTTGGCTTACAAACACACCTGAACCGTGTCCGAAATTTCTACGTAGTACCGTAAGATATCGATGAAATCACCCCCACCCGTCCCTCTTAAAGAAAAATTGAAATGCTCGTCGCGTTAAAGCGGCGTGGAAATGAGTCTACCACGTAATAAAACATTTCAAATGTGCTTTAGTTAGTGTTATATACCAACTAAACACTTGCGGAAATAAATCTTAAACTATGTACGTATAATGAGAATTTCGCAGTTATTATCGAGAAGATCTAAAAATATAAAAAATTTGGATCACGGAACTCGTAAAAAGCTTTTTAGTGTCAGGCCGACCCGCGTGGTCCATTACGGATCGAGACTTGAAATTGTCCGTTGTCAACAATCGGTGGAGTGTACTGGATGTGAAGGATATTGGAGTTATATCTCTCGCCCCTGTTGACTTAAAAACATACATTAAATATGAGTATTTACTTACAGCTATTTAATCTTGAAATAAATACATTTCAATGGTCAAGCCAAATTACTAGCAAAAAGCTTTATGTAGTGAATATTAATATCAATCGACTCTTTTAGGACTTTTAAATCCCTATTGTCGAGTTAGGTGTAAAAGAAGATTCTGCAATTTATTCTTGATTATTTTATTAACTACATCCCCTCCCGTTGAACATTTCTTGGCACACTACTGGTCCCTGTACATAGTATATATAATATCATTACTCATATGTTTATTGTGTATCTCGTGTACCTTTTTTATCTCGTATAGTACGGGAAGAAATTCGATAATATTATCCTCGAGTATGCGAATTGTACGATTGACATTCAAATCGTCATCGAACGACTTACAGAAACTTTCGGCCATCCAACTGCTATAAATCGCACGCACCCCGTGGCATGTACTCGTGACGACGCCGCCACACGATCAAGTTTTGCTATTTAAGTATATAAGTGGCGACACGTGAAACACTCTCGAACGCAACTTCGTGATTCAAATCCCCCGAAAGCAAGTATAAGGCGTGTTTGGTATTTTTTATTTTTTTATCTCTTAAAAATATATTTTCGCAACAAGATTTCCATACCAATAGAGAGACAGCTGCGCCTACGTGACTATATAGGTATATTATTATAATTCACGAGAGTACTGCAGCCATTGTTCGGCAAAGTTTAAAGTTTTCAGTAATATACGTACCTAACGCGTTGTACAGCATACATATAGGTATAAACTACATATACGATTATATAAATGAATTAAAAAACATGGATTAAAATTTTAAACACCGTTAGTTGAGGTCAGTATCGAGGATCTACAAATTATTTTAACCTAGGGCGAAACACATTAACACGCATCCATGTATCATGTATAAGTTACCCAAATAAGTTGAACTATTCACCTTCGTGTATCTTTTAGACACTTTCTAGTTATAATTGTCTCCCCTAAAAAATACAACACAGGTTGAGGCCACTATAACTTTCACATAAATTAATAATTTGAAACCTAAATCTGATTCAACCTGATATCGAATTTTCAAAAAAAAAAAATTATTCTCGAAATAATTGCATTTTGTCATACAATAAAATACAATTTAGTTGAAAATAATAATGATAGTGGAATTCGTCATTCGTTAACCAGTTGGCGATATATTCCGCTTTTAAATTTATATAAAGGTGGGAGTAGTGAAGCACTACTTAAATACTAATCCTCCTCTACTAAAACTTAAGAATGGAATAATGCCCCTGGTTGAGGATGGACAAAAATTTTAAATGTTAACACCATAAAGTATTTTTACTAAAACGACATCTATTTATGTTATAGGTTGCTATTTAAAAATCATATTTATATAGTTTGTAGGTATTATAAGAAATATATAGGTATATATATTACACTTAGGTTTATTTTTTTTTAGAAAAATATAATAAATGTACATTAAAATGTATAACTTACACCTAACACACCGTCACAGAATCCAAATAACAACAATTATTTTAATTAATCCAATAAATGTATGGCATTCGTGCAGTAAAACTTTCTTTGAACTTTCTTTCGAACTTAAATATCGACGAAACCACGAACGGAGCTCTATATTATTTCATTTAAAAGTTTCATCGTCGAAGTCAAAATGCAATGTAGTTATTTGCCATAGACGGTCTAAATATGAAATGTTAATATTTATATAATACGATGTACCTATTTACCACAATAAACTAAAATTGCATTTGTAATAAAATGTCCACTGTTTGACTAGTTGTGCGTGTACAGCAGTATACAGACTGAAATATAATTGTTACGAAACGAGGTACGACAAAATCAATTTCGAAAAATCCATTAGTTTGTAATTTCATTTGTCAATATGTTCGTTTCGGTCGAACACCGAACAGGGGTTTTTGTCCATCGCAATAACCCGTGAAATATTGGAAACGAAACCCCTCGGCTAAAACCGCTTACCCGTTGGCAATGGGAAAAATACATTTTCTGCAATAACTAAGTTTTCCCTTTTGGTTTTTATATGTTGTTCCGGTGCACGAATATTCTTCGGCTTTTACCAGACAAACCCAATTACGGTATATAATAAAAAGGAAGCGATTATTTTAACGTATTTATTGTCCGGTAAATGCGTATAGACATGTATAATAATATACGTTTAGATATATTCCTATAACAACAGTTGGCCGCCAGTTCTGATTTCATTTTAAATTATTCGTATATATATATATAAAAAAAAAAAAGATGTTTTAATAAAATGCCAATTTGTTTTATTTAATAAAATCACTTTATATGATAACGTTCAATGTCAAATGAACAAGTAGGTATTAAATTATAAACATTTGTATTTTGTTTTTACTTGTATACAAATATGAAATAGGTAGGTATCAAGAACTGAGTATTGGTATCGGGTAGAATATGATATAATATCGAAATAGAACATGTAGGTATTTATTGAATATCGAATTCTACATTTTTGGTATCACCTATCTCTGCATTTTAAGAACAAAATTGCAAACCCAAACAAAAGCGAAAATAAAGAAACCGTTATTGAGTCATTTTTCCCGTTTTACCAAATATCCAATCATTAAGAAAACTATTATCTAATAAAATTTATAAAAAAAATGACCTCTCAATATACCAACTAGACAAACTTTGCAACCAGACACTCAATCATTAAGTTGTTCACAAACTAAAAAAAAACAAAATTTCCTATTAAAACCAACGATAGTGTATTTCTCGCTTAGCAGCGCATTATTAGTAAAGTTTTGTTCATTTCAACAAAGAGCGTACACTTTTTTGCATTGATTTTAACACTTGGTTGTAGATTTGACACCTATATACACATTTGATAATGTGATAGATGTGATTAGTGTATTCTTTATCAACAAATTACGCTTTAGATTCTAAGTGGAGTAAAAAAGCTTGTGGTTTTAGAAAGATGTTTATTTTTTTTTCTGTAAACAACTTTTCTACCACAAGTATTGCTCCAATTTACAATGATATCAATTTTTCTAAAACGAAACCTGACTGGGTAGGTATTTTAGAAAGGTCATTTTTTTTGATTTTCTTAGGAGTTTCTCAATAAATAGGAAAAATCAAGGAAAAATATGAGAAAACGAGTAAATAGGTACAATATTAAATAAATATTATTAAAGAAAATATATAATGGTTATTTAATTATTTTACTCTAATATGACATATATATTATTGACAAAGTAACACTATCAACTGAACTCTGCTCAGAATCGTTTTTTCGTTAGCAATAATTTAACGTTGCTTACAAATTTACATTGAATTTCCCCTCTACTACTATACAAATTTTAAAAAAACAAAAAACACTTACAGAGAGCCACAGCGTTATTAGATTTCATTGTTTTTAATTTTTGCAAACTATGTTTTTTACCTGAAATATTATGATCTTTTCAAAACATGTATAACCGAACTTCGCCCCATATCGTTTTTTGTTAACAATGGTTTATCGTTGCTTAAAAATATAAATTAAAAATAATAAAATACATTAATAGCGAATTAACGAAAAAAAAAAAAAAAAACAGGGGATCGTGTGGATCCCAGCTAGGATATTGAAGTCCACTATTCAGAAAAGATTGAGTTTGGAGTTTAAAATGTCCGTTTCTGTTTCCATTCACTATGGAGTATGCGCTTCCGGCGTCGCACGTCACGCTAAACGGTAAACAGACCGGTAGCTAGTCGTAGTCCGCATATTAGAAAAATCATTTTTTGCAATTTGCAACGTTACAATTTATGTAACGAAACCATCGTTGTATCCACGATGTGTATGATGGTAATAAACGCAGATTACGGATAGTACCATTTCATTTTACAGCGCGCGCTCTATTGGGGCGGTCCAGATGACTTAGATAAAATAGTAATTGGCAAAATAACTTCTCTATAATCAATGCTAATATGTTAACTCGACGCGTGTGTTTTTCGTCTACAGGCAGCATATTCCCGTCGGCGTCGTCGTACTGGACAAACCCGGGCGCCAACCTGTACTCGAATATTGCGGCCGCGTCCGCGTCGCACTCAATGGGCCACCACCATCATCCGGGAGCCAGCACGGCCGTCAGCCACCACACGGGCGTCTCACCGCACCTGGCCAGCTATTCGCACTACGCGTCACCATGACCGGCGGCGGACGTGCACTGGGCCGCTGCCCGGTCGTTGTCTGCATCGGATGGTCCCGCGACTGTCAGGCCGCCGCAGCCTCCGTACAAGCCAATCGAATGAACAGGAGGACCCGGCTCCGGATATAATAATATACAGTCGACAACATTTACACCGAGTACACCAACGATAATATTATATTTGAAAAAAAAACTTTAAATTACTATTACGTATTTATTACTATAAACCAGAGAAAAACGCACAATAATAATAAATGTGACCGGCAATCGATTTATCAACTGTACAGGTACACTATAATATTATGCAACTGCTAGCGAAAACGCATAAACCGCGTTGCGAATATTTGTTTTTTCAAATTACCTATTGTAAAAAAAAACCAAAGGTTTTTTTTTTTTTTTGACAAAACTAAGTGTTGATTATAGTTATTATATGTAGCTTATTGAAAATGTAAAAATTAAAAAAAAAACAAACACACATACACATTACAATTCCCACACACGCGGTTTGTAAGCTTGCGACAATCAATTCTAAAAATAATAATAATTTTATTATGTTTCATTGTATAGCGCGCGAAAACATAAATCAAAAATTTACTAATTAAAAGGCTCGGTGCAGGTCCACTTTTCGAAATCTTTCGGGAGAAGGAAACCAACGTGACAAGTCCACTAATAGATATTTTTCAGTAAAATCTTTGCCTTGAATTCGGTTTAACCAGACCAATACGTATCACCATTTTCACCATATCTAGTAGACGAATTTGCATTATTGTTGTGCCAAATAAAGTGGTATATTTTATTACTTTATTCGAAATTATCAAAAAGTAATTTTCTATCAAAATTGGACTTGTCTTGTTATTGCACTGAGTCCTTCGATTTAAAAATGTTTACAGTCTTGAAAAAAAAACTATAAAACATGTTATAATAACATGACAGCTAGTGACAATTTTATAAATTCTACCTACAAACTTTAATCTTTGTTTCAGACCAGGGCAATATTAATAATACCGCGATATATTATGCGTATTTAAGTATATTACACGGGACACAAAGCATTATCAGGAGTGACACCACATAAAACGACTGTATTTGGAACAGCAAAATCTGAAACAGCAGTGTTTGAACCGACAAAACCTAGAATTTGTATTTGTAGTATTTTGAAATGGCAAAATGGGGAACTTTTATAATTTTGAAGGCAAAAGAACAAAAATGACAAAATTCAGACGACTTTTTTCTCAAATAACATTTTTAGATTTTAATAAATATTGTATGAGAAAATAAAAATCGTTCCAAATTTTTCCGTTCTAGTTATTTTTCAGTTCCAGTTTTTGCTGTTTCTGATTTCCATATTCCAAATTTTGCAGTACCCGATTTCACCGTTTCAGTTTTTGCATTCCATTGTTTGCCTTAGAAATTAGAAAGTTTTCAGATACTGCCATTTTATGTGGTGTCATTCTTTTTAATTCTGGCCTCCCTATTACCCTATTACACATACTTACATAATATTAACTTTAAATTTAAATCAATATAAATATTATATTATAAGAATAACTCTCATAATTTGCACGATTCAAGACAACTAGTACAAAACAAGTATTATTATTTTAAATATAAATATGTATACAAATAAAAAAAAAAGGAAAAGGTACTATCAGACTACTGTGTCTACCTTTATATTTTATTTCATATCTTTTAACAAATATTATACAATAATAATATCTCGTATACGTATCTATAAAAACCAAAACTTTTATATTATTCCAATATAGCATTTACAAGTACAAATGTTAATATTTTATTTTATAGATCCTAATTAATAATTGTTATTTTTAACGCAAATTCTAATCGAAATATCAATATTATTTGACATTTTTTTTTTTAAAATAAAACTTAATCTAGTCATTTTTGTGATTAAAACTGACAATTCAGATCTCGTTTCTTCATGAACAAAACCCTTACAGTATGTACATAATATATAACAGATCCCTATTTTATATACCTACTTGAAATTTAAAAGTATTAATAACAGGTATTTACTATATTAGGTATCTAACAAAATACATCACCTATAATATAATCCACACAATGTTCGTACAAATGTACAATATTGGTTTTGTTTGACATATACCTACTTGATAATACGAGTTATGACAATCTAACATAGCTAGATTATTAAAAACAACTTTAAAATTTGAATGTATTACCTGCATTATAAATGCATACCTATATTATATTATTAATCTATTAAGAAACTAAAAATACTTATAGCTATCTATGCTAAGTTAAAAAAAAAAAAAAAGTGCAATATAAATTATACGTCATTTTAGTTAATACATTTAAGAGTACCAGCTATTTAGTTCGTAGTTTAATACATTATATATGTATGTATGTAATATTTGTATCTCTGTACAGGCCTTATATTATTATAGAAGGCATCAAACTAGTTCCATATTATGCTATTATATTATACATAAAATATTATTAAGATATTTAATTTACGATAATAATAATATTATAGTGTCATAAAATAATATACCTACAATGATGTTTTGACGTTACCCGATACACACATTGTAAATATATACATCAACTCCATGTGTTGGAGAAAAAAAAATAAAACCATTATATACTGCGTTTTTAATTCGTTGTTTAAATATTATTAATATTTTGAACCTTATAATATCCTTTTTGAAAAATTAAAAAATATATTGTGATTAATAATGATGCTGGACGCACATAGCATTATCTGGAATTTCACCATACGGCATTTTTTAGAACAAAATCTAAAACGACAAAATTTAGAACGACTTTTTTTTCTCGTGCAACATATTTTTATAAAATATTTTGGGATTTTCTACCCCAATGAAACGGGTACTTCTCAAAAGTTCATCCCTTTCACACATAATAAAACATTTGATTTTGAATGAGGACAACTAAGTTATGCATTTAAAAATATCATATTTTTTAAAAATCCCTATTTTCGTTGCATAACACATACAAGGACACGCAAAACTTTTGAATCGAGTTAAGTACATTTAAAATTGTTTGTTTTGAATGTGGAACTAATGAAATTTTTAAAAGTGTCCGTTTCATTTGAACGGATATCACAAAATATTTTAGAATACAATATATTGTAAGAAGAAAAGAGTTGTTTCAATTGTTGCCATGTACATTAATGTTTCAAATTTGTATCCATTCCAAATACTGCCGTTTCGTGAGGTATCATTCCAGATAACACAGGCAACCTATTTCTCTGAAAATGGAATATTTTAAATACAATTTGAGTACCTACACGTATATCGGTGTACAATCAAATAATTCAAATGCATATAATACATAGTCGTATTACGTATAGAAAAAATTAACAGTGCAATCAGTCAGTGTGAACCGTACTAAAATATAATGCATATTATTATATATGTGTTATTGTGTACAAAAGTAAGAGAGGGTTGTTCTCAAGAATAATTTCAAACGCCACTGTGGAACAATGACGGCAAAAGCAGACCGGAAACAGAGGAAAAACTGAAGACATGAGCCACCGAATACGCACCGCCACACGACGCACTATAATATATATTGTTCGAATTCTCTCCGTTTGTTGAGCATGAACATTAAAATGGGTAGTTTAAAACCGAGAAACAATGAATATGCATGAGTTCGACTACTTGATATTTTTACCCTCGGAAGCTATAAAAAAAAATCCCTGCAAAACTTCGCATTGTATTCGTCACAAGTGTTGCAAATACGCGATACACTCCAGAGTTCAGTTTTCATCGACATTAACCGAATAATTGTAATTATTTTGTGATGGTATGTTGGTACTTTTATGCTCGTATTATATCTTAAAAACCTTCTCGAATGAGAAAGGTAAGTATAGTACATTAGTACATAATATTAAAATAAAGTATTCTATCTAGTATAATTATTATTTATTACCTATATGTTAATAATGTGCTTTCATGAATCAGCATACAATTAACCTGTAGGATTCAATCCAGTGGCATATACACGGAAAAAATATTTTAGAGGAATTTCATATAAGTAAACAAATTAGTGTTGAACCCCTAAAACCAACCAACCCCCCTCTTCCTATATACGTGTCTGATTAAATTATATAGTGTGTAAAAAAAACGACCTGACATTAATTTTAATTTTACATGAAATACGAGTTGATGTATGTAAACCTGTGTATACAAATATTAAAATACTCAAACTCCAATATCACAGTAGTAGATATGCATATATATCTACTTCCTAATTTACATGTTGGTTTTAAATAACTAAACAAGAAGGTATTAGGTATAAAGAAATTAACACAATAGGAACAATTATATGTTTAAATAATGTCCGACGTGATTTATACGAGTGTACAATAAATTAGTTTAATTTAAAAATGTTAATTAAAAAGTAAATTATAAAAACAATAACACCCCTTAAGACAAAAAACTATTATCTGCACATGCGGATATGACGTCCTCATTATAAACAAGAATGATAATAATATTACAAAATTAATATCAACAGTATCATATATCATAGATGCATTAATCTCCAGAGTCTTCATAATACTTGTGTAACAAGTATTGCAATACAAGATATACGATACTTAAATTTTATATTTTTTTTTTTTTTTATTAAAAGAATATTTACATTCTATGTTTCAAAGCATAATAAGCAAATTAGCAAATTATAAAACAGAAAAGCAATACACAAGAATATATACATAGGAGGCCATCCAGTGATAGAACCCAACGAACAGTTTACGTATTTAAATATTAGATACTCGATACATTAAAATTAAAATTGTTCACGCACGCGGTATCTTAAAAGTATAATAGTTATTAATTTGCAACATTTTTTCAAAATTTTCAATAATTCTCCCATGTTCACATAATTACTATCAATTTTAATGAATTTTTTGAAAAATTAGAGTGGACTAATGACCCAGTTCACCTTCTCGGGTGCCTATGGGCAAGATACTCATAATGAGATTATCTAGACACTCGGTATCAGATATTTTCCAAAACTATACATTACTATACAAGACACAATTGTATCAAAGACACGTATTTAAAAAATAATTACGAACTGCTTCAAATCAACACTTAAAAGAAAAGGATATAAAGGAATTCGTTCATCTGATTTCGTTCACTTTTCAAGAATTCAAGAATCCAGGAATCAGAAACGGTTTTATGGAAGAACGTATTGGAATTTCAATAATTTATTGGAAGAATATTATGGCCGATTTTCGTTTTCGTTCATTTTTCTTAGATATACATAAATAATTTTAATAATTTTAATTACCCTAAACATTTTTGCAATATATTTAAGTTTATTAATTATATATAAGTTTGTAGCAATAAAAGAGCTGATAATAGGGACGAGCAACCACTGTTATAGGTGAGAAGATGGGAATATAGGATACATAAAATTATTTAATTTATGGCTGTATTCGAAGATAAACAATTACTAAAAAAAATTAATTAGGAAAAGAAGTTCGATAAGACATAATTTGAAATGCAGTAATTTTTACGATTTTCGTCAAAATTTGATTTTATGAAATGCTTATGAAACAAAAACTAATGCATTAAAACGCAAATTTATTTTTTAGACCGCTTAATATAACTTATAATGTATTTTGGGTTAAATTTTCAAGCATTTCTCATAAGTCATATAATTTTAATAATAGATACCTACCAAATAAAAATACATAATATAAAACACAAAAATATCAAATACCTATAAATAGCCTAAAAATAACTAGAATGTTTTGAACACAAAACCATGTCTATAAATCGTATTTTTGGTTTTTCCCAATTAATGTGTAAACTACTTTGGATATTAAAAACGAATTTTTTCGTCAGAGACTACATATTAAAAAAAACAAAATCTATCACTTGTCTTTTTTTAATTGACGCAATAATTGTGGTAGAAAATATAGTTTGCAAAAATTAAAAACATTGGAATCGGTAACGCCGTAGCACGCCGTAAATATTTTTGTCGTTTTACCTATAATTTTCTTTCCGGTGTTTCTCAACTATTTCAAAAGCCTCTTGGAAAATAAAAAAATAACCTGTCAAAAGCACCAACTATATAAAATCTCCTTTCAGAAAAGGTACTACACTCTACATCAGAGCAATATTTCTGGCAAAAAAGCTGTTTACAGATACAAAAAAAAAAAATGATAAAAAAAATACATCATAGTAAAACCAATGGATTTCTCGCTACGCTTCGAATTTAAAAATACACAAATGAATGGTTTTTATTTGTATTTGAGTAACGAAAAATGTTTCTTTATGTTACGAGCAAAGGAACTAAGGTCCTTTCATCAATCCTGGACCAAACATGAAATTTCAAACAAGTTTCATTTTAACAAAACGAACGCGAACATGAACAAATTCCTCTTCAATAGGAACAGTTAGGTTACACTACTTATTAGGAAGCACTGCTCATAACATACAACCCAAAAGACTTCGAAAACCTGCAGTTATCCAGGTAAGTAGACAGCGATGGACTAACGCGCGCAAGCGTATACACAAAAATAACAACGACCGTTATCTGTTGTGTGCGTAGGTATACATTATTACACACCGGTGAGGGTGTAAAAATACGACGACGGAATATAAAGCACTGCGGAGGCGGTAGCGACGACGACGACAACGACATAGACGGGGCGAACGGCGGGCAATCGGGCGGGATGACTGGGTGTAGTATATATATAGAGTGCGGGAAGCTTTTGTTATGGAAATAGTAGTAGAGGGCCAACCGGAAGTTGGTATCGACCACCTGCGCAACCAACCGACGTTTCCGGGACCTTGCCGGCACAAGATGGAGACAACGGCGGCGGGACCACACCTACCCGAGCCGAAAGAATCACTACGCCGCGCTCACCGCGCCGTCGCCGTTTTTTTCTATCTTCTCACCGCCACCGCCAGCAAAAGCACTACCGTCTTAGTCACCCGTTACGACCGTTGCGCTCTCTCCTATACGTACCTATGTACACATAACTACCCCCACACCCCACGTAACCCAATTGTCGCATCAACACACATAGAAGAGTCAAAATATCACACCGTGAAACAACACCGAGGCGTATATCGATTATGATAAATTATTATTATGGATACGAATTTACAACTAGTGATATATTCACCAACCAGGGTAATGTGTGAGATGGTTATACACCCCAAAAAAAAATCTTGGTTACGCCAATGGTTATAATATATAGAAACATTACTAAATAATATACATAAACTATACAGG